GAACTACTTGCCACCAGAAGTTGTGGGTGTTCCAATGCTGGAGTTTTTTAAGAAGAGATTGGATAGCCGTTTGTGCAGAACATTACCGACTTACGAAAATTCATTTAACGACCATTCAAAATTAAAACGGCACTGAGAAAAAAGTGACTTACGGCGTTTTCACACTTACGACCGTGGCAGCCTCCCCGTGGTGATACGATCAAAATTGAGACGCTGGTCAATCGACTCATATTTATGACAGTTGTGGTGTCCCAGAGGTGTGTGTGTGTCACGTGATCCCCTTTAGCGACCATCTGACGAGCAAAGTCCATTGGGAAGCCGGATTCACTTAACATCCGTGGCAAAGAAGGTAAAGGGGGGGAAACTCACTGGACGGCTGTCTCGCTTAGCAACGGAAATTGTGAACTGTGGGTTTTGGTTGTAATTTGAGGACTACCGGTCCCAAAATTGGGAAACCTTGTTTTTCTTAGCGTTTCAGCCTCCGCCAACTCGTTCTCTTTAACCCGATCCAGGCGTTTTAGCATCTTACAACTTTAATTATTGAAATATTCTCTAACATTGCGAATATTTCGTTTTATTACACTGTGTTCTTGCTATATTTCCCCGCTCCCCACCCCTTTTTTTACAAGGAGGCGTTGTGACCCAGGCTTCCTTCTAAAGTAAAACAGCACAAATTTAAGTCCCGGCAAACCTCTTTAATTCAAACAGTTGTGAATTATTGTCATTCCCAGTCTGAAAGGCTTCTCAAACAGTCTTTCAGGGGAGAGTTTACAAACACCCACCTTATCTCCCTTGGAATGCTGCCAGAGAACTAATTGCCGAACACAGGGCAAGGCCAAACTTAGCACAGAGTCAAACAGAGCTTTTCCAGAGCTTTTCCGACCAGATGAACTAATTGCTTCCTGAAAAAGCTCACGTCCCGTTCGCTTCTCTTTTTATGTCTCATGGGAGAGTCCAATCATCTCCAAGCCTTACTCCCAAGTCGACCCTGTTTTCTTAATTGTTCCTGTCTTCTGGCAGCTTTGCGCATTGTGCGCACTGGGAAGAGGCTCACGCTGTTCTTCTGCCTCGCTGATGTCAGACTCTGGAGACTCCGGAGGCAGCAAAGAACTATCAGATGGCCTTGGCCCCCTCTCTGCCTCTGACTCAGAGCCCTCATCCGAGCCTTCCCAGATTCCAGGATTGGCCCACGTTCCTCCCCAACCTCCTCATTGTCTGACACTGCTGCCAGCTCTGCTGGCTGCTGGCGGGCCACAACAGGAGGAGAGAGGTTGCATGAATGATTAACCTCTGCGTATCTAACACCTTTTTCGTACTGCTACAGCTAGTCCTCGAAATTACGACCACAGCCAAGCCCAAAATTTATATTGCTAACTGACGAGTTTTGCTCCATTTTATTAACTTTCTTGCCACGGTTCTTAAGTGACTCACTGCCATCGTTAAGTCAGGAACCCGGTTGTTAAGTGAATCTGGCTTTCCCCATCGACTTTGCTTGTGGGAAGGTCGCCACAAGGGGGATCATGTGACCCCCCCCAGGACACTGCAACCATCATAAGTATGAGTCAATTGCCAATGGTTATCGGAATGTTTATCGTGACCCTGGGTTACAACGGCGATAGGTGTGAAAAGCGGTCCCAAGTCACTTTTACTCAGTGCTGTTGTAAATGAACTGTTGTAAGTTGAGGAGGACCTGAATAAATCCTTCCTTCCTTCCGCCATTCAATCAGAACAGAAGAAGCTTCTCTAGAATGAGAAGTGAAACCTCTTCAAGGAAAAAGAAAAAAAACTCAAGTTGCCTTTCAGGAAAAAAAAACACCTTTGAGATAACCCTGACCTGGATGGTTGAGGATCTCCATAGACATGCCATTTTAAGTATCGCCTAACCCAGAGGTAGTATTCAGCCTGTTCGTACCAATTCGAGCGAATTTGGTAGCGGCAACTGCCATCCATTTAGCCACATTTTTGAGGCCGGCGCATGTGTGGAAGGCGGATGCCCGGCGAACCAGTGGTAAGAATATGTGAAACCCACCACTGGCCTAACCCCAATGAAGTAGTCCTCGACTTACAACAGTTCATTTAGTGACTGTTCAATGTTACAACGGCACTGAAAAAAGGGACTTATGACCGTTGTTCACACTTACAACTTTTGCGGTATTCCTCCCTGATCAAAATTCAAATGCCTGGCACAACTGACTCATATTTATGACGGTCTCAGTGCCCCGGGTGGGGGGGGGGTCACGCAATCTCCTTTTTATGACCTTCTGACAAGCAAAATCCATGGGGGAAAGCCAGATTCACTTAACAACCGGGTGACGAAATGATCAACTTGCAGGGATTCGCTTAACGGGGCAAAGGTCACTTAACCAATGTCTCGCTTAACAACGGAACCGCCGGGCTCAATCACGATCGTAAGTCGAGGACTACCTGTAGATTAAAAATTTGCTTTGGAATCCGAAAAGAAAGATGCAATGGGGGGGCTCTGCTTGGATGCAACCCCCAACCCCCCACCTAAAAAGCCTGCTTGCCTCCTTGCAATTCCCCCCCCCTTATACACATATCAACCCCGTAACACCTGGTTTGCCTTCACCACGCAACTTGCATCCTGGTTTGTTTATGCACACAGCTCCTCCTCTTCACTGTCTGCTTCTCTTGTTTCCATGCCTCTCCGCTCTTCTCCCCTCTCTCATGTGTTTGCGTGTGTGTGTGTGTGTGTGTGTGTGTGTGTGTGTGTGTGTGTGTGTGTGACATGACAACATTTCTTGATCAGCCCCATTCCTGTCTCTTCTCTCCCTGGACGGCTCCGCCTCGCTCCCTCCCCTCCCCTCCCTCCCCAGTCCCTGCCCGTAGGATGCTGCGGCTGTTGCCATGGCAGCAGTCAGCCAATCGCCTCGCCCGTCCTCCTGTTACCTAGGTGACCGGGCAGCCTACACCAGAAACCGGCCTTTTTACTCACACACACACCACACACACAAACAGAAATACGCGTGCGCGCTGGGGCACATACACACACAGATGGGACTCACCTACAGTTTTATACTGAGAAAGAGAGAGAGAGAGAAAGAGGAGAAAGAAAGAGAGGGAGAGAGAAAGAGGGGGAAAGAGAATGAGAGAGAGTGGGAGAAAGGGAGAAAGAGAGAGAGGGGAGAAAGAAAGAAAGAGGGAGGAAAGAGAGAGAGAGAAAGAGAACAAGAGAGAAAGACAAAGGGGAGAAAGAGAGAGAAAGAGGGAGAAAGAGGAGAGAAAGAGGGAGAAAGAGAGGAAGAGTGGAGAAAGAGAACAAGAGAAAGAGAAAGAGGAGAGAAGAAGGAGAGAAGGGAGAAAGGGAGGAAAGAGAAATAGAGGGAGAAAGAGAAAGAGGGAGAAAGAGAAAAAGGGGAAGGGAGGAGAGAAAGAGGGAGAAAGAGAGAGAGGAAAGAGAAAGAGGGAGAAAGAGAGAAAGAGAGAGGGAGAAAGAGAAAGAGGGAGAAAGAGAGAGAGAAAAGGGAGAGAAAGAGAGAAAGAGAGAGGGAGAAAGAGAACAAGAGAGAAAGAGGGAGAGAAGAGGAAGAGAAAGAGAGAGAGAAAGAGAGGGAGGGAGGTCTGGTTAGGGAGCAGGAAGGGATGTGAAAAGAAAACAGCTATAAAAGGGCTATAAAAGGGAATATTTTAAAAAGAAAGGAAAACTAGAAAAAAAAAAGAAAGGAAAAAGAGGATTCGGTGGCTGAGGAAAACAGAGGCAGAGCAACAGAAGGATGAAAAAGAAAGAAAATGCAGATGGAAAAAACCAGAAGGAAAAAAAAAAAGGATGGCTAGATAGCCTTAGAAAATTGCATCCATTCGTCTTATCTCCCTTTATTTTGAGGGTTGGAGCCAAAGTCTACACACCTAATGCACACAACCACAACAGCAAATACCACCACAACAACCAGAAGCTTTTCATCCCTTCCCACCAGTCCCAAATTCTTTTTTTAATGAATTTTCCACCCGGGAGTCCCGATCACGATGGATTTTTTTACACGCTAAAGTCTGTGTGGGACTCTCTCTCTCTCAAAAAAAAAACACCAGATAGAGATTTTTTTTGTTCTGTCTCTTTTTAAAATGGCTCCTGCTAGGGGGAGAAATTCTCCTCTTGACCATCTGTAAAGCCTGTTTCCTCTTTATTAAAAAATATTTTTTAAAAATCAGAATAAATCTAGGAACATGTTTTCAGGGAACCCGTTTTACGCCGAGGCAGAAGCTGGGAATAAAACTCACAAAAGCCTTGGGATAAAATAGGTTTGTTAGAAATGTTGTCCCTCAGACGAAGCTCATTTTAGTTCTAGAACCGAGGGTGTCCAACTGTGGCAACTTTAAGACTTGGGGACTTCAACTCCCAGAATTCCCCAGCCAGCCGCAGCTAACTGGGGAATTCTGGGAGTTGAAGGCCACAAGTCTTCAAGTTGAAGGCCGCAAGTCTTCAAGTTGAAGGCCGCAAGTCTTCAAGTTGAAGGCCGCAAATCTTCAAGGTTGCCATGTTCGGACATCTGTGGTGTAGACCAGGGGTCTCCAACCTTGGCAACTTTAAGACTTGGGGACTTCAACTCCCAGAATTCCCCAGCCAGCCAACTGCGGCTAGCTGGGGCTAGCTGGAATTCTGGGAGTTGAAGGCCACAAGTCTTCAAGTTGAAGGCCACAAGTCTTCAGGTTACCAAGTTCGGACATCTATGGTGTAGACCAGGGGTCCAACCTTGGCAACTTTAAGACTTGTGGACTTCAACTCCCAGAATTCCTCAGCCAGCAAAGCTGGTTGGAGACCCCTGGTGTAGACTATGGAAGAACATCTTCTGATGTTCACCGATTTCAGTGAGGACACCTCATCGATTCAATCATTCTCCACCCATATTTTGAAGACTCCTTCAAGACAAGTCAACCTTCTCCTGTGTCAACCGTTGAGTGAAACCATCAATGGGTGTTGGAGGGTTGTAGGAACATACTGGTTTCTGTCCTCTTCCCCACCCACCAGCTCTAGTTACCCTTCTTACCTGGCGATGGCTAATTCTTGCTTCTGACGAGCCATGCTGACCGCTCTCCGGGCCACCTCCACTGCTCGGTCCACTTTCTCTTTAACTTTGCTCCGTCGAAGCGGGATGAGGTTCTTCACCTTGCCGCTCACCAACCGGTTGAGCTTGTACTTCCCTTCTTCTTTGGAACCGTCGGGATAGGTGGTGCGCCCATACCCATGTCGGCGGTTCCCCAGCCACTCGCCCTCGTACCGCAGCCCATTGGAGCGGCGACTCACCCCGTAGCCACTGCGCCGGTCGGCCCGCCATTCTCCCGCGTAGACCTCGGTGGAAGAACCTTCAATGGTCAGAGTTGAAGGCAGCTCAGGAGGTTCGGTCTCGGCATAGCTGAGAGTGGTGGCCTCGCTTCCCGCTGAACTGACCCCTGCCTCGCTCTTGAGGGACCCTCGCTTGCTGCCCAGAGAGGCTTTAGACTCGGCTCTCCGCACTCTTAGCCCGCTCAGGAGCAAGGAACGCCGGAAGAACCCTCCGCTTTTCTTCTTGGTCCCCTTGGGGAAGTCTGGATCTCCAGGGAAAGCTAAGACAAAGCCACCCCTGGATCCTGAGGCGGGGCTGTCCCCAGGGAGTGGCGGAGGAGGCAGCGAAGGAGGAGGCAGCGGTACCACAGGGGCATTGTGATCTGCCTCACTGTGGAGAGACTCCAGGGAGGTCCGGTGTGGGGAGCGCACCAGGGTGGCTTGACGGTACGGGACACTCTGGCGTACTCCATATCCATGACGCTTGCCAGACTGCCACTGGCCTTGGTAAGTACCTGCAATGAAGGAAAAGATGAGGTCAATTTAGGATGGCGAAGGACATTCCACATTTCTTGGACAAGAGATGTCCGACATACTGGTCCAGCTGGAGAGGACCACTCAGGCCTTCTCAGACCTACCAAGGAGGAAGAACCGTCTTGGTGTGTGGAAACTGGATCAGGAACTCCAGATTTTTGTGTTGGAGACCATGGAGAAAAGTCGTGGGTGAGAGGGTCAAGGAGCTATGCAAGTGACGTCTTCTCCAGAACACCCGAGGGTTTCATTTTGGAAAACAAGGACGGTTAAATGTGACGGATGGGACTTCATTCGTGTTGGGTTTGCCTCCTGTTGGTCTTTCAAGGACTCCCGAGATTAGTTGGTTATGCCTGGGTTTAAAGGGGTTAGGGTTTTGCTTGAAGCAGGTGTGCAATGTGTGTGTGAAAACTTGCGACATTTTGTGGCCCAGTTGAGTTTGAAACTCTGTGATGAAATTGGATCGGCTATTTATGGGCCTCCCATACCACCTCCACCTCCACCCATTATCTTCAGACACACAGATGGTGTTCTAGAGGAAGACACAAAGCAATGGTGTAGGAACACAGTGTGTGAGAGAGGTGGGCCTCTTGGGGGGGGTGGGGAAGGCAGTTTTCGCCCTCCTCAGGCTCCTAGAAAGCCTCTGGAGCCTGGGGAGGGTGAAAGATGGATCTTCCGGTCCCACCGGAAGTCAGGAAATGGGCCGTTTCCGGTCACCAGAGGGCCTCCGGTGGGGTGGGGAAGGCCGTTTTCACCCTCCCCAGGCTCCAACAAAGCCTCTGGAGCCTGGGGAGGGCAAAAAACCGGGCCTACTGGGCCCACCATGCCATCGTGTGCCAAAAACAGAGGGGAGCTTGGGGGGGGTCACATGCACATGCGCGGGAGAGTGGAGCGCATTGAACTATGGATGTGCGCCCACGCGCCCGCGACCCCCCCACACTTCCCCCACTTTTGGCACGCGACAGCAAAACGGTTAGCCATCACTGATCTAGACGAAGACACAAAGCAACGGTATATGAACAGTGTGTGAGAGAGCGAGGGAAAGAATCGTCACCTCCATTGCCATCGTCATCACCATCATCATCCTCACCCCCTCCATCATCACCACTATCTTGGAACACATGGATGGAGTGGTAGAGGAACATCTAGATGAAGAGATGAAGCAATAGTGTACGAAAAGTGTATGAAGGCATCTGACCAACTTTCTATGGACCGCATCACTATCACCCACCACAACCATCACTACCTCTTCTGCCCCAGTTACGGACCCCCAAAGAACGCAGCACACACAAAGTCTGTACAAACCTTAGTTTACTAAATTTAATCAGTCTTTTTCAAACAAAGGCTGTTAAGTAACTTTCTTAACAGCCTACAAGAATCCAAAGAATAAATAATCGTAATCTTACTATGGTTGGCAGAAAGCCCAGAAGCAATTTGCAGGAAGCTGATAAGAGAACTAAGATCAAGACGCGAAGGAGAGTGAACTAAGTTGTTTTCTGCAAATTGCCTCAGTCAGCGTCCTTCCTTAAATAGGCTAAGGGAGTGGCCAATTAGCCCCATGCCTTACTCTCAAGGAGACCTCCTCTTGAGGAGCCACTCCTGCCTTTTGGCAGCTCTGTGCGTCCGTGCATCGAGAAGAGGCTCCTCCTCTTTTTCCTCTTCACTTATAGGAGCTTCTGGAGGTTCTGAAGGCCCTGGCTGAATCCCCGCCTCTGGTACCACATCTTCTCCAGCCTCATTGTCTGCCTCTAGTGCCAGCTGCACAGGCTGCTGACGCAGCACCACACCAGCCTCCTCGCTGTCGGAATCAGCTACTAGCTGCACAGGCCGCTGACGGGCCACAACACTACCACTATCATCATCATCACCATCACTTCCACCCATTATCTTGAGACACACAGATGGTGTTTCTAGAGGAACGTCTAGATGAAGAACAAAGCAACGGTTTGTGAACAGTGTGTGTGTGAGAGAGAGAGGTGGAAAGAACCATTACCACCATTGCCATCATCATCCTCACCCCCTCCAACACCACCACAACCATCTCCACTCATTATCTTAAGACAGAGAGATAGTGTTCTAGAGCAGGGGTCTCCAACCTTGGCAACTTTGTGGACTTCAACTCCCAGAGGAATTCTGGGACTTGAAGTCCACAAGTCTTAAAGTTGCCAAGGTTGGAGACCCCTGTTCTAGAGGAACCTCCTGTTGAAGGAGTGAAAAATATATGGAGACATCTGACCAACTTTCTATGGTCTGCATCACCCTTAACCACCCTCACTTCTACCACCATCTTGGAACACATGGATGGTGCGGTAGAGGGACATCTAGACGAAGAGGTGAAGCCACGGTGTACAAAAAGTGTATGAAGACATCTGACCAACTTTCTATGGACCACATCACGATCATCACCATACCATCAGCTCCACCATCTCTCTGTCCTAAGATACTTAGGACAGAGAGATGGTGTTCGAGAGGAATCTCTAGATGAAGGAATGGAGCAAGGGCGAAGGAAAAGTATACGGAAAAATCTGGCCAACTTTCTATGGATTTTCTATCACCACGATTACCTCCACTGTTATCTTAGGACGCACAGACGGTGTTCTAGAAGAACATCTACATGAAGAAACGAAGAAACGGTGTACACAACGTGTGAGAGAGAGGTGGAAAGAAGAACTACAGTACCCACACCATCGTCACCTCCGCCCATTATCTTGAGGACAGATAGATGGTGTTCAATCTAGAGGAACCTCTAGATGAAGGAATGAAAAGTATACGGAGAAATCTGACCAACCTTCTATGGACCGCAACACTCTCACCCACCACAACCATCACCATCACACCTGAGGGTTGGTTTCACATTTTCGTACCACTGGTTCGCCCCGCGCACACGCTTGCTTCTTCACGCGCTCCTTCTGCACATGCGCCCAGCCTTCCGCACATGCGTCCGGCATCAAATATGTGACTAAATAGGACGGCTGTCAGCACTTCAAGCTGCCTTTACTCTAGTGCTGACATAAGAAGGAGGAGCGGAGGCGTCTGGAAAGGGACATTTGACTTTTCACCTACTTATTTTCCCTGGAGATAATATCCCCTAGGAGATGGGATGGGAGGGGGGAAATTCCTTTGAGTTGGAGCAGTAGATAGGGGTAGAATGACTTGGAAGATGGCCAATGAGTGCAAGGGAGTGGGGATCGGAAAGGGAGGGTTTTGAGTCTGGAAGTCAGTGTTGGCTACGATGAGTTGGACTTTGAATGTCGTGTTGAATAAATGGGGGTTTTCTTCAAAGACTTTGTTTGAAATGCAATTTATTTGAGACGACCTCGAAACCTGACAACGGCATTATGCCGGGGTGGGTGCTACCGGTTCTCCCAAACCAGTACGAACCAGCTGAATACCACTTCTGAACCATCACCCTCATCCTCACCACCGGTATCTTACGACACACAGATGGTGTCCTAGATGAACATCTAGATGAAGAGACGAAGCAACGGGGTACGAAAAGTGTATGAAGAAATCTGAACAACTTTCTAGGGACCACATCGCCGTCATCACCACTAAACCCCATTACCGCAGTCACCTCCACCATTGCCTTAGGGCACACAGATGGTGTGGTAGAAGAACATCTGGATGAGGAAATGGAGCAAGGGGGAATGAAAAGTATACGGAGAAAACTAGCCAACCTTCTATGGACCGCATCGTCAGCCACCACTACCGCCACAACCATCGCCACCAGTATCTTAGGACAGTGCTCTTCAATCTGTGATACGCGTACCACTGGTGGTACTTCGGCACCTGGCGGGACATCTCCTAGACTTAGGACACATGGATGTCCTATAACAATGATGGCTAATCTTTTTGCCATCGTGTGCCAAAAACGGGAGGAGCGCAAGGGGCCGTGAATGTGCTTGTCCACACCCATAAATCAATGCGCCCCATCCCCCCAAACTCCCGCTTTTGGCATGTGATGGCATGGTGGGCCCGGTAGGCCCGTTTTTCGCCCTCCTCAGGCTCCAGAGCCTTTCTAGGAGCCTGGGGAGGGCAAAAACAGCCCTCCGGAGGCCAGAAACAGCCTGTTTCCCAATTTCTGGTGGGCCCAGAAGGCCTGAAAATCAGCTGGCCAGTACGCGCATGCACGCTGGACCTAAGCTAGGGCAACGCTCGCGTGCCTACCGATATGGCTCCGCGTGCCACCTGTGGCACGCGTGCCATAGGTTCGCCATCACGGTCCTATAAGGTGGTACGCTAGAGGAACATCTAGACCAGGGGTGTCAAACTCAATTTCATTGAGGGCCACATCAGGGTTATGTTTGACCTCAGGGGGCCGGATGGGCATGGCCAGGGTGAGCGTGGCCAGCTTGACGTCACTCGTTCCGTTTTCGGCTGCGATGGCCTCCTGCAGCGCTCCGCCAGCAAAAATGGAGCACGCAGCCCTCCTGGGCTCCATTTTCACTGGCAGAGGCACCGTAGGCCAGTATTTCAATTTATTCCAGGGTGGCCCCACGAACCAGATCTAAGCACCCCATGGGCCCAGATCCGGCCCATGCGCCTTGAATTTTGACACCCCTGATCTAGACGAAGGGATGAAGCAATGGTAGATGAAATGTGTGTGGCGAAGTGGAAAGAACCCAGGCCAGGTGTCAGCAACCTGCGGCTCCGGAGCCGCATGCGGCTCTTTGGGCCCTCTGCTGTGGCTCCCTGTCGAGTGATCCCACCACTGGCTGGCCCTGCCCATCACCCTCCCCTCCCAGTCACTCCTTGCCTGGTCTGAGAAGGTAAAGGCGATGGCGGATGATGGAGAAGTGGCCGGAGCAGAGACAGAGAGATAGAGAGAGAGGAGGAGGAGAAGAGAGAGACATAGAGAGATACAGAGAGAGAGGTGGGGAAAGAGGGAGGGAGAGAGAGAGAGATGTCAAAAGGATTTTGTGGTTCCCGGTGTTTTTTAACAACTGGTTCTCTGCCCTAATGACCGGCTGGGTAGGTGTGGCTGGGGGGGTGTCATGTGACTGGTGGAAGTGAGTGACGTCGAGTTGGCCACGCCCACCCAGGTTTTGTGGCTCCCGGTGTTTTCTTTTCTGTGGGAAACGGGTCCAAGTGGCTCTTTGAGTGTTTAAGGTTGCAGATCCTTGATCCAGGCTCTGCTCCAATTTCCCCTCAACAGACTTATGGAGGAGGACTGGACAGGGACACGACGTCTTGGGCCAAGTGGATAATCAGAAGACAGATATGACATCGGGACCCCCATCCCCAGACCAAGAAGAAACAACAGCCCAGCCCCCAACCCCCCCTTCTTGTCCTGTCCTCCTGACTCACCTCCATCCGCGTAAGTCTCCATCCCGTAGCCATCCTGAAGACCTTCGCGCCACATGCCTTCGTAGACGACTCCCGAGTGGCTTTCCCAGATGCCCAAGTGGCCCTTCAGCCCGTGGCACCACTCCCCCTTGTAACTCCATTTGCTCTTCCGTTCCGCGCCCAGGCCGCTGCGCTTGCCTTGACTCCAGAAGCCCTGGTAGGTATTCCCGCTGGGCCAAGTGTAGACGCCCAGAGACTCAAAGCCGCGACTCCAACGCCCGCTGTACTCCCCCTGGGCGCCCGGGCCTGTGCACACCCCGTAGCCATGTGCCCGGCCTTCTTCCCAGTCACCCACATAACAGCCTCCATCATCAAACTCAAATCTGCCTCCGTTGGACATTCATGTAATGTTTCTCCCCGGCCAGTCGGGCTGCAGTTACCTCCGAGTCCCCGTGTGCATTTCTCCGGCCCGTCGAAATCGTTTCTACATGGCTCTGCTCCACCCCAGACCGGCTTCAGTCCTCCATGGCTCCCTCTGGACAGCCAGACATCGATCTGGCAAGCCGTTCTTCCCTTCTCTGGCCGGCCGCCTCCGATTCGGCTGAACTTGCAAATTCCAATTTTGCTAATGCCGTCTTGTTTGGCTTTCGTTGGCTTTCATCAACTCCCGGGAGCACCGAGGAGGAATCAGGTGGCTTCTCGGCAGCCTCCAAGGTCCTGAAGCAGGAAGAAACTAGCGGTAGGGTGAGCCCGACATTTAGCGCTAATGATTATATGCGACGGCGATTATATTAAAAGTTTAGAAAAAAAGTCGCGGGCGTAACAGTGCAAAAAATGGGCGTGAATAAAATCCGCCTGGGCACACGAGCCTGTGGAATCTTCCGAGCACAGATTCATTCACTGCTCTTCCTAGTATATAAGAAACACCCCTCCCCCACCCAAAAAAGTCTTCCAACTACAAACAAAGCAATGGTCCAGGAGTTATCTGTAGATGTTCCTCAAGGCTCTGTGTTGTCTAGTTGGAGGTCCAGAGAATTGGAGATCGAGTTGGAGCCCTGGAATATCAGAAGATATGGATTTTCCGAGGTCCGTCGAGGAATCCGGTGGCGCCACAGACAATCTAAGGGCTTTGTAGAGCCGAAGGACAGCCAGTTGATCTTTCTTTGGCGAGGACCAAACATGCTAAGTTCCTAGAAGAACTTCATGGTGGTGAGTCTTCTCGCTTCTTCAGCAGCAGGAGACAAACATTTGGGGACCGCTTTCCATGTCACAAGTTCAGGATAGACAAATGTGTAGGCCTGAATTCTTTGGTTGAGAAGTCTAGGATGGTCTGGGTTGATCAGTGGGGACTTATGGGCAGAAGACAACCAGACGGTGGATCCCCAACTGCAGGTGGCCATGAAGGCATGGTGATATTCCATTCATGGTGGCTGAGGGACTTTCAGAGTCCTCAATTAGACTTGCTGAGGTCTTCTCGGTTTTAGGAGGCCATCGCTGAAGGGAGATTCTGGAATTCAGGATCCACAAAAACCACTGTAGCATCAGACAGAAAAGCGGATCCTGGGGTTTTCCTCCCTAGGGCCCATCAGAAGCAATCTAGACCATCCCCCACAATCGGTCAACCTCTTCCGAGCGGTGGAGAGGCAGGAGGGTTGGTGAGGAGGAACACCAGGTGGTACAAACTGTCGAGAACAACCTGTATCAAGAGACATAAGAGATTAGGCACATACTCAATTGAGCATTGCAAGAACAGTGGAGAGAGGGAGGGAGGGAGGAAGAAAGAGAGAAAGAAAGAAAGAAAGAAAGAAAGAAAGAAAGAAAGAAAGAAAGAGAGAAGGAAAGAAAGAAAGAAGGAAGGAAGGAAGGAAGGAAGGAAGGAAGGAAGGAAGGAAGGAAGGAAGGAAAGAAAGGAAGAGAAAGAAAGAAACAAAATGAATGCATGAATTTTGGGATCTTAAAAGTCCACAGTTCTTAAAAGTTATCAAGGCTGAGAAACACTAAAATATCATGATGGCTAATAGAACTAAGATTATAAACTATGTATGTTGCAAAAACAGTGGATTAGAAGGGAGAGGGAGGGAGAGAGGGAGAGAGAGAAGAAGGAAGGAAGGAAGGAATAAAGGCAAGAAAAGAAAAAGGAAGGAAGGAAGGAAGGAAGGAAGGAAGGAAGGAAGGAAGGAAGGAAGAAAAAGAAAAGAATAAATGAATGAATGAATTCTGGGATTTGAAGTCCACAGTTCTTAAAGTTGCCAAAGTTAAGAAACACTAAAATACCATGATGCCTACTAATAGAACTAAAATTATAATCCATGCATGTTGCAAAAAGAGTGGAGGGAGGGAGGGAGAGAGGGAGGAAGGATCAAAAGCAAGAAAAGAAAATAGGAAGGAAGGAAGGAAGGAAGGAAAGGAAAGGAAAGGAAAGAAAAGAAAAGAAAAGAAAGGAAAGGAAAAGAAAAGAAATGAAAGAATGAATGAATTCTGGGATTTGAAGTCCACAGTTCTTAAAGTTGCCAAAACACAAAACAGAAACACTAAAACAGAAACACTAAAATACCATGATGGCTACTAATAGAACTAAGATTATAACCCATGCATGTTACAAAAAGAGTGGAGAGAGCGAGAGAGGGAGGGAGGAAGGAAGGAAGAAATAAAAGCAAGAAAAAAATAGGAAGAAAGAGAAAGAAAGAAAGAAAAAGAAAGAGACAGACAGACAGACATAGAGAGAGAATTCTGGGATTTGAAATCCACAGTTCTTACAAGTTGCCAAGGCTGAGAAACACTAAAATACCATGATGGCTACTAATAAAACTAAAATTATAATCCACGCATGTTACAAAAAGAGCGGAAAGAGCGAGAGACGGAGGAAGGAAGGAAGGAAGGAAGGAAGGAAGGAAGGAAGGAAGGAAGGAAGGAAGGAAGAAAGAAAGAAAGAAAGAAAGAAAGAAAAGAAAGAAAGAAAGAAAGAAAGAAAGAAAGGAGAGAGAGAGAGAATTCTGGGATTTGAAGTCCACAGTTCTTAAAGCTGCCAAAACACTAAACAGAAACACTAAAACAGAAACACTAAAATACCATGATGGCTACTAATAGAACTAAAATTATAATCCATGCATGTTACAAAAAGAGTGGAAAGAGCGAGAGACGGAGAGAGAAAGGAAGGAGGAAAGAAAGAAAGAAAGAAAGAAAGAAAGAAAGAAAGAAAGAAAGAAAGAAAGAAAGAAAGAAAGAAAGAAAGAAGAGAGAGAGAATTCTGGGATTTGAAGTCCACAGTTCTTAAAGTTGCCAAGGCTGAGAAATACTAAAATATCATGATGGCTACTAATAGAACTAATATTATAATCCATGCATGTTGCAAAAAAATGGAGAGAGCGAGGGAGGGGGAGAGAGAGAGAGAGAGAGAAAGAGACAGAGAGAGAGAGAGAAATTAAGAAGCAAAGAATCAGAGGAAGCGAATAAGATTCACCTCTGTTCGTCCACGGAGCCAAGACCGAAAACAACTCACAAGCGGTGCCTCCTAAGGGAGACAGATGTGCAACAACCCCCCCCAGACACACACTCCTGTACACACACACACACACACACACACGAGGCACTTTTGTAAACAAGCACCGCCGTTGAAGCCGTGTCCACCGCACAAGGCAGGTTGACATCACCCGAGGAAGATCACACATGCGCCTGAAGACACACACATGTATCCAGGCGCTCGAAACGGGTGTTTAAAAAAAACACACACACACACACAACACAACACAAAAAAATCAGGGCTCCCCCAACCCACATACAAGCTGCAAAAAAAAAAGAGAGAGAGAGAGAGAAAGAGAGAGCAGGAATTCATGCTCAGTCAGCAGAAGGCTACACAAACACACACAAACACAATTGCACACAAAATCCAGACCTGACCACATGCAATATATATATATATATATATATATATATATATATATATATATATATATATATATATATATATATATATATATATATATATATATATATATTGCACACATGCAATATATATATATATATTGCACACATGCAATATATATATATATATTGCACACATGCAATATATATATATTGCACACATGCAATATATATATATATATTGCATGTGCAATATATTATATACAATAATAATAATAATAATAATAATAATAATAATAATAATAATAATAATAATAATAAATAATAATAATAACCACCAGGCAGGGTGGAGACAGGGGAACCAGTCTCTGTGTGCCACCCTTCTCCCGCTGTTGTGCCAGGCTCACTTTTTATTTTTTACACGCCCAAAGCAGAAATTGGTGTCAGCTGCAGAGCCCTCCCTACACATCAAACGTGCCCCACATTCCCCAGCAAAAGGGGACAACCTTTACCAGGAGCTCACTATAAACCCCAGATTGCCCATCTCTTGAAGCGTGAAACAAGCCACAATCATCACTCAAAAGAAAAACACGCTTGGCAAAATCTTGCAAATCAACCCAGATCTGCACGCTGCATTTGATGGGCGGAATAGATAGATAGATGAGATAGATGAGATAGATAGATAGATAGATAGATAGATAGATAGATAGATAGATAGATAGATAGATAGATAGATAGGTTGGGTTTCATTTAACGACCGCCGCATGCAGGAAAAGCCTAAAGCAACAGCTCTTCTGTCGCCCCGGAGAATATCCCAGAATAATTCCCCCCCAAACACACACACACTTACCAGGAGTGGATTCCTATGAAACAGTCTGAAAGGTGAAGAAGGGAAGAAGGAAAAAAAAGAGAGAGAGAGAGAGAGAGAGAGGGAGGGAGGGAGAGAAAACCACTCGCCAGATCTTCTGGAAAACGCACAGATGCGCTTTCAGAGACACACCCAATGCGAGAGCCAGTAGATCGATGGAGGGGGATCTCCGCTGGGAATACCAATACCGCTGGTGGGGGGCCGGAGGGGGGGGGCAAACGACAGCCAGACCATGGGAAAAAAAAGCAGGAGAGGGAGGGGAGGTGGGGAGTGCTGGATGGATGGAGGGGGGAAAAGAAAAAAGAGCTCCAAAAACGTGGAATGGGTGGGGGGAAGGAGGAGAAAAAAAATAAAGAAAAAAAAATAAAAGAAGGGATGAGGCGAAGAGGCAGACGAATAGCTGATGATGGAGGGACCGGGCGGAGGAAAAAGCACGGGACACGGCTGTGGGGGGGGGGAAGGGGGAGGGAAAGGGGAAGGGGGAGTTGGGAAAGAGAGGGATGGCTGGAAAGAGAGAGAGAGAAGGATGGAGAGAGAGAGAGAGAAAGATGGAGAGAGAGAGAGAGAAGGATGGAGAGAGAGAGAGAGAGAAGGATGGAGAGAGAGAGAAGGATGGAGAGAGAGAAGGATGGAGAGTCCTTTTTAGCTCTCACCATCCTTGTCAAGCCCACCAAAGGCGCTAAGCAGAGAGGATCTATTTGGGGTGGGGGCTGAGGGGAGAAGCCCTGATCCGTACCCACCCCCCCTTACCCCCACGGCAGATTTATTTTATTTTATTTTATTGGCAAAATAATAATAATAATAATAATAATAAAAAAAAGCACCCAGCTGGACCGTTTTTTCCTCCTTCCATCCCACCCCAGATTCAATAAATGGGAAGGGGTTTTAGGAAGGAAGGCAACTGGCTGGGAAGGAGGAGTGGGGGGGACCGGGAGGAATTGAGTGGGGGGGTGGTTCGTTCTCCTGCCGCCGGGGCCCCCCCCCACCAAAAGGCAGATTGAATCCGAAAGGAAGATGGAGAGAGAGAGAGAGAGAGAGAGAGAGAGAGAGAGAGAGAGAGAGAGAGAGAGAAAATCAGGGTGGAAATAAAAAGAGAGGATAGGAATTATTCTTGAGGGGAGGGGGCTGCCAGGGGGAAAGTCCCTTGGGGGGGTGGGAAAATGGGGAGGGGGTCTCCCTTGGGTATGTCAACCGGCCCCCCCTCCTCAAATGGAAAAAGGGGGGGGTATTGGCATCAGATCCGGAAACAGGAGAGGGGGAGAGGTGGCCGTTGGGTTTTTCTGTCTGGTAGAACCCCTTTAAAAGGGGGGGCTTTGGGGGTCCCCTTCCCACGCATTCCCCCCCCTCCTCCCCCAAAAAAAGACACAACAAAAGGTTGTGATTCCAAAGATGTGTTTATTTTCATTATTACACAGAAGGCACCGAAGCAGGGCAGGGGTGAGTACCAGCGACTTGTGTACCCCCAAGATTCGGGCTGTTCTCCCCCGTCTTGGAACCCGTCCAAGCTGAGTTTCTCCGCCCCCACCACAGAAGACCCTCCCCTAATTTCCCCAGAAGCATTAGGGAAGCCCCTTCCTTCCCCCCCACCACCATATTGCCCTCAATATCCCCTCCCCAACCTCCAAGAGGTACAAAGTTTAAAACAAACCAGGATCAAACTAGCCATCTTTCACTCAACACGGGCTCGGAGCGAGCTTGCGCAGGGGGAGGTGTCTCCTTGCACGCACGTGTGCAAAGGACTCCCTTCAACTTCAGCCTTTTCCACCTAAAATCCCACAGGACACACACACACACACACACACACACACACACACACACACACACACACACAAACCTGGTTAGGAGGAGGTCCATTTTTTTTTGGTGGCCATCACTTCTTCTCAAGAAAGTTGACCTCTCTCTCTCTCTCTTTGAAGTTGACCCAACCACCATCCCAGCTGGGACACGCCCCCCCCCCAATCACCCCCACATCTTATTTTTCTGAGGTCCCCGTTGTGCGGTTATCTCATCCGTCGTCATAGCTGAACCACGGAAGGCACCACGATCTCCTGGTCAAAGACGGGCTGGGGCGCCACCAGCCACCACCACCGTCTCTCCGGTGATGTAGTCGGCATCGGCGGAGCAAAGGAAAGAGACGATGCCCGAACAGTCTGATGGGACTCCGATCCTGGGGGAGAGGAGGGGGACCTGGGTTAGTGGTCAGAGGACCTTTAGGACACCTGAAGATTGGATCTGTTGTCTTCATCCAGAAACATAGTTTGCGGGCGGAAGCTTAGGGATGTAGGCCTGGAGAACATCAAACCAAGAACTATCTTGGTGGATCGCTCAAAAGCTCAGAAGGTCGCATCTATTGGTCAACTAGATGTCTACAAGAAGACAGGAGGCCTTCTGCAGCTGACCCCCTTGCAATATTTGGAGGTATCTGCTCCAACTTGCAGATCACATGGAGTCTAAGAGGTGGATGGTCTTCAAGAAACCATTTGGAGGGATCTGCTCTAACTTGCAGGTCACATGGAGTCCAAGGTGGATGGTCTTCAAGAAACCTGTCCTTCAGGGGTTCCTTCAATCTCCTGGAGGGCAGATTTCTTGAAGGCCATCCACCATCTTCATGTTCCTTGCATGTTAGAGGAGCATATTTCCTTCAATCTCTTGAAATCCACAGGTTAGTGAGATGTGGTTTGAAGACTACATCTTTGGACCTGTGTGTTATCTCTTTCTTGTAAGCTTCAGCGGGTTGGGGTGGGAAAATGAAGAGAAATATCTCCTTCAGCTTTCTCCAAGAAATATCTCCTTCAGCTTCTCCATGTTCTGCCTGGTTTTTTTCGGCCTCTTACTGCATTTTGACAAGAGTCCTAAGCAAACGTTTGAGACTTGGACTTACGACGGCTTGTCAAGCTAGCCGTTTGGTGCCGCCAGAATTACTCTGGAGTCCGGCAGCGTCATAATTGGAAATCAATAAACCCATAATTAAAATAAGCAATGGCTTTGTTGACAAACCAACCAGAAGTTTGCTGCATTGATCCAGAAGGTGGAGGATGATGGCTAGTTTTGAAGGGGTGTGGGTATGGGGCCCAGTTTCCATGGTTATCATTCTGGACTGGTCCCGTGTAGGTGATTTGGTCAGGAAATCCTGTCTGAAGGCCGATTTTGGGAGTGTTTTTGAGCAACGGATGTGCAGTTGTGGATCAGGTCATGGGGTGGGACGGGGAAGACCAGGCCAAATGGCTGCAGGAAAGAGCACAATCTTTTTCTGCAAACAGAAGAGCAATTCTTTCTATCTATCTATCCATCCATCGATTTATCCATCATCCATCCATCCATCATCTATCTATCTCTTGTTCTATCCCTATCCATCATCCATCCAGCCATATCCATCCACCATCTATCATCCATCCATCATCTATTTATCCATCATCCATCCATCCATCATCTATCTGTCTGTCTGTCTATCTATCATCCATCCGCCATCCATCCATCCATCATCTATTTATCCATCATCCATATCCATCCATCATCTATCTTTTTATCTCCATCATCTATCTATCTATCATCCATTTATCCATCATCCATCCATCCAGATCCATCCACCATCTATCATCCATCCATCATCTTTTTATCCATCATCCATCCATCCATCCATCATCTATCTGTCTGTCTATCCAGCCATCATCCATCCATCATCTATTTATCCCTCATCCATCCATCCAGATCCATCCATCATCTATCTCTCTATCATCCATCTATCATCTTTATCCATCATCCATCCATCCATCCATATCCATCCATCATTTGTCTGTCTGTCTGTCTATCTATCATCCATTCATCATCCATCATCCATCTATCCATCATCTATCTCTCTTTCTCTCTTATCTCCAACCATCATCTATCTATCATCCATCCATCATCTTTTTATCCATCGTCCATCCATCCATCATCTATCTTTCTATCTCCAACCATCATCTATCTATCCATCATCCATCCATCATCTTTTTATCCATCATCCATCCATCCATCCATCATCTATCTGTCTGTCTGTCTGTCTATCTATCCATCCATCATCTATTTATCCATCATCCATCCATCCATATCCATCCATCATCTAACTCTTTTTCTCTATCTCCAACCATCATCTATCTATCCCTCATCCATCCATCCATCTATCCATCATCCATCCATCATCTATTATCCATCATCCATCCATCCATATCCATCCATCATCTATCTCTTTTTCTATCTATCTAGATAGATGATGGTTGGAGATAGAAAGATAGATGATGGATGGATGGACGATGGATAAAAAGATGATGGATGGATGATAGATAGATAGATGATGGTTGGAGATAAGAGAGAAAGAGAGATAGATGATGGATAGATGGATGATGGATGATGAATGGATAATAGATAGATAGACAGACAGACAGATGATGGATGGATATGGATGGATGGATGAATGAATGATGGATAAAGATGATGGATGGATGGATGATGGATAAAAAGATGATGGATGGATGATGGATAGATAGATGATGGTTGGAGATAGAAAGATAGATGATGGATGGATATGGATGATGGATTATCTATCTATCTATCTATCTTATATATCTATCTATCTTACATCTATCTTATATGTATCTATCTATCTTATATCTATCTATCTATATCTAATATCTATCTATATCTATCTTATATCTATCTATCTTATATGTATCTATCTATCTTATATCTATCTATCTATCTTATATCTATCTATCTATATCTATCTAATATCTATCTATATCTATCTATCTTATATCTATCTATCTTATATCTATCTATCTATCTTATATCTATCTATCTTATATCTATCTATCTATCTATATCTTGCTATCTAACTTATATCTATCTCTATCTATCTATCTTATATCTATCTATCTATCTATCTTACCTACCTACCTACCTAAATTTATATATACGTATAGATATATAGTCCTTGACTTACAACAGTTCATTAGCAGCGAACAATGATGTTCAAAGTTGCATCACTGAAAAAAAGTCGCTTATGACCTTTTTACACACTTACAATCGTTGCTGCCTCCCCATGGGCAGGCGATTGAAATTCAGATGCTTGGCAACTGACTCATACTTATGACGGTTGCAGTGTCCCAGGGGTCACATGATCCCCTTTTACGACTTTCTGGGAAGCAGTCAGTGGGGAAGCCAGATTCACTTAACAGCCATGGCAAGAAAAGCCGTAACTTGGGCCAAAACCTACTTAACAAATGTCTCCCTTAGAAACATAAATTTTGGGCTCAATTGTGGTCGTAAATTGAGAACTATAGATGATATATATATATATAGTGTGATATTAAATTAACATATATTAATTATAAGGATCAAAATAATTAGAAATTATTTAAATTATGTCACCATAAATATGAAGATGATGATAAATGTTAAATTATAATGCAGTTATCAATACGAATATAATTATCAACGTGAAGTTTAATGAAATTATGCCGTTATAAAGCATTAATATCATTATGAATTTAAGTTAAATGAAACTTAGAAATATCAACATAATTATAAGTATCAGCTAAAATTAAATCGTAATTCAATTATAAATATCAGTACCGTTAGGAAAATTCTAATGGCATTAATACTATAATCATAAAGTTAAGTCAAATGCCATTCTAATTTACTTAAAAATATAACAATAAAGAAGAAAATTAAAAATATAATTTAATTGTAAAAAGAACAGATGAAGTTAGAATCAGACCACCGAGTCCTGATTTTAATGCAAAACTTTGATTTATCCCAAATTACCTCTTTATCCGCAAGGTTTCCAGTATTCGGCGTTCTGTGTTTTCATCCTGCCAAAACTAGAGAGAAACAACAGCGGTAAAAATGATTTGATGTCCTCCTTTTAATTTTTGGGGTACGGAGAGCCCCACTGTTTGCAATTACAGGCTGTCCCCAACTTTTTCAAGATGGGTGGACTTCGACTCCCAGAAAGCCTTGCCAATATTTAAGATGGGTGGACTTCGACTCCCAGAAAGCCTTGCCAATATTTAAGATGGGTGGACTTCGACTCCCAGAAAGCCTTGCCAATTTTTAAGATGGGTGGACTTCGACTCCCAGAAAGCCTTGCCAATATTTAAGATGGGTGGACTTCGACTCCCAGAAAGCCTTGCCAATTTTTAAGATGGGTGGACTTCGACTCCCAGAAAGCCTTGACAATATTTAAGATGGGTGGACTTCGACTCCCAGAAAGCCTTGCCACTTTTTAAGATGAGTGGACTTCGACTCCCAGAAAGCCTTGCCAATTTTTAAGATGGGTGGACTTCGACTCCCAGAAAGCCTTGCCACTTTTTAAGATGGGTGGACTTCGACTCCCAGAAAGCCTTGCCAATATTTAAGATGGGTGGACTTCGACTCCCAGAAAGCCTTGCCAATATTTAAGATGGGTGGACTTCGACTCCCAGAAAGCCTTGCCAATATTTAAGATGGGTGGACTTCGACTCCCAGAAAGCCTTGACAATATTTAAGATGGGTGGACTTCGACTCCCAGAAAGCCTTGCCACTTTTTAAGATGGGTGGACTTCGACTCCCAGAAAGCCTTGCCAATTTTTAAGATGGGTGGACTTCGACTCCCAGAAAGCCTTGCCAATATTTAAGATGGGTGGACTTCGACTCCCAGAAAGCCTTGCCAATATTTAAGATGGGTGGACTTCGACTCCCAGAAAGCCTTGCCAATATTTAAGATGGGTGGACTTCGACTCCCAGAAAGCCTTGCCAATATTTAAGATGGGTGGACTTCGACTCCCAGAAAGCCTTGCCAATTTTTAAGATGGGTGGACTTCGACTCCCAGAAAGCCTTGACAATATTTAAGATGGGTGGACTTCGACTCCCAGAAAGCCTTGCCACTTTTTAAGATGAGTGGACTTCGACTCCCAGAAAGCCTTGCCACTTTTTACGATGGGTGGACTTCGACTCCCAGAAAGCCTTGCCACTTTTTAAGATGGGTGGACTTCGACTCCCAGAAAGCCTTGCCACTTTTTAAGATGGGTGGACTTCGACTCCCAGAAAGCCTTGCCAATTTTTAAGATGGGTGGACTTCGACTCCCAGAAAGCCTTGCCAATATTTAAGATGGGTGGACTTCGACTCCCAGAAAGCCTTGCCAATATTTAAGATGGGTGGACTTCGACTCCCAGAAAGCCTTGCCAATATTTAAGATGGGTGGACTTCGACTCCCAGAAAGCCTTGCCAATATTTAAGATGGGTGGACTTCGACTCCCAGAAAGCCTTGCCAATTTTTAAGATGGGTGGACTTCGACTCCCAGAAAGCCTTGCCACTTTTTAAGATGGGTGGACTTCGACTCCCAGAAAGCCTTGCCACTTTTTAAGATGGGTGGACTTCGACTCCCAGAAAGCCTTGCCACTTTTTAAGATGGGTGGACTTCGACTCCCAGAAAGCCTTGCCACTTTTTAAGATGGGCAAGACTTCGACTCCCAGAAAGCCTTGCCAATATTTAAGATGGGTGGACTTCGACTCCCAGAAAGCCTTGCCACTTTTTAAGATGGGTGGACTTTGACTCCCAGGAAACCTTGCCACTTTTTAAGATGGGTGGACTTTGATTCCCAGAAAGCCTTGCCACTTTTTAAGATGGGTGGACTTCGACTCCCAGAAAGCCTTGCCACTTTTTAAGATGGGTGGACTTCGACTCCCAGAAAGCCTTGCCACTTTTTAAGATGGGTGGACTTCGACTCCCAGAAAGCCTTGTCAATATTTAAGATGGGCAAGACTTCGACTCCCAGAAAGCCTTGCCACTTTTTAAGATGGGTGAACTTCGACTCCCAGAAAGCCTTGTCAATATTTAAGATGGGCAAGACTTCGACTCCCAGAAAGCCTTGCCAATATTTAAGATGGGTGGACTTCGACTCCCAGAAAGCCTTGCCAATATTTAAGATGGGTGGACTTCGACTCCCAGAAAGCCTTGACAATATTTAAGATGGGTGGACTTCGACTCCCAGAAAGCCTTGCCACTTTTTAAGATGGGTGGACTTCGACTCCCAGAAAGCCTTGCCAATTTTTAAGATGGGTGGACTTCGACTCCCAGAAAGCCTTGCCAATATTTAAGATGGGTGGACTTCGACTCCCAGAAAGCCTTGCCAATATTTAAGATGGGTGGACTTCGACTCCCAGAAAGCCTTGCCAATATTTAAGATGGGTGGACTTCGACTCCCAGAAAGCCTTGCCAATATTTAAGATGGGTGGACTTCGACTCCCAGAAAGCCTTGCCAATTTTTAAGATGGGTGGACTTCGACTCCCAGAAAGCCTTGACAATATTTAAGATGGGTGGACTTCGACTCCCAGAAAGCCTTGCCACTTTTTAAGATGAGTGGACTTCGACTCCCAGAAAGCCTTGCCACTTTTTACGATGGGTGGACTTCGACTCCCAGAAAGCCTTGCCACTTTTTAAGATGGGTGGACTTCGACTCCCAGAAAGCCTTGCCACTTTTTAAGATGGGTGGACTTCGACTCCCAGAAAGCCTTGCCAATTTTTAAGATGGGTGGACTTCGACTCCCAGAAAGCCTTGCCAATATTTAAGATGGGTGGACTTCGACTCCCAGAAAGCCTTGCCAATATTTAAGATGGGTGGACTTCGACTCCCAGAAAGCCTTGCCAATATTTAAGATGGGTGGACTTCGACTCCCAGAAAGCCTTGCCAATATTTAAGATGGGTGGACTTCGACTCCCAGAAAGCCTTGCCAATTTTTAAGATGGGTGGACTTCGACTCCCAGAAAGCCTTGACAATATTTAAGATGGGTGGACTTCGACTCCCAGAAAGCCTTGCCACTTTTTAAGATGAGTGGACTTCGACTCCCAGAAAGCCTTGCCACTTTTTAAGATGGGTGGACTTCAACTCCCAGAAAGCCTTGCCACTTTTTAAGATGGGTGGACTTCGACTCCCAGAAAGCCTTGCCACTTTTTAAGATGGGTGGACTTCGACTCCCAGAAAGCCTTGCCACTTTTTAAGATGGGTGGACTTCGACTCCCAGAAAGCCTTGCCACTTTTTAAGATGGGCAAGACTTCGACTCCCAGAAAGCCTTGCCAATATTTAAGATGGGTGGACTTCGACTCCCAGAAAGCCTTGCCACTTTTTAAGATGGGTGGACTTTGACTCCCAGGAAACCTTGCCACTTTTTAAGATGGGTGGACTTTGATTCCCAGAAAGCCTTGCCACTTTTTAAGATGGGTGGACTTCGACTCCCAGAAAGCCTTGCCACTTTTTAAGATGGGTGGACTTCGACTCCCAGAAAGCCTTGCCACTTTTTAAGATGGGTGGACTTCGACTCCCAGAAAGCCTTGTCAATATTTAAGATGGGCAAGACTTCGACTCCCAGAAAGCCTTGCCACTTTTTAAGATGGGTGAACTTCGACTCCCAGAAAGCCTTGTCAATATTTAAGATGGGCAAGACTTCGACTCCCAGAAAGCCTTGCCACTTTTTAAGATGGGTGAACTTCGACTCCCAGAAAGCCTTGCCAATTTTTCAGATGGGTGGACTTCAACTCCCAGAAAGCCTTGCCAATTTTTAAGATGGGTGGACTTCGACTCCCAGAAAGCCTTGCCACTTTTTAAGATGGGTGGACTTTGATTCCCAGGAAACCTTGCGACTTTTTAAGATGGGTGGACTTTGACTCCCAGAAAGCCTTGCCACTTTTTCAGATGGGTGGACTTTGATTCCCAGAAAGCCTTGCCACTTTTTAAGATGGGTGGACTTCGACTCCCAGAAAGCCTTGCCACTTTTTAAGATGGGTGGACTTCGACTCCCAGAAAGCCTTGCCACTTTTTAAGATGGGTGGACTTCGACTCCCAGAAAGCCTTGCCACTTTTTAAGATGGGTGGACTTCGACTCCCAGAAAGCCTTGTCAATATTTAAGATGGGCAAGACTTCGACTCCCAGAAAGCCTTGCCACTTTTTAAGATGGGTGAACTTCGACTCCCAGAAAGCCTTGTCAATATTTAAGATGGGCAAGACTTCGACTCCCAGAAAGCCTTGCCACTTTTTAAGATGGGTGAACTTCGACTCCCAGAAAGCCTTGTCAATATTTAAGATGGGCAAGACTTCGACTCCCAGAAAGCCTTGCCACTTTTTAAGATGGGTGAACTTCGACTCCCAGAAAGCCTTGCCACTTTTTAAGATGAGTGGACTTCGACTCCCAGAAAGCCTTGCCACTTTTTAAGATGGGTGGACTTCGACTCCCAGAAAGCCTTGCCAATATTTAAGATGGGTGGACTTCGACTCCCAGAAAGCCTTGTCAATATTTAAGATGGGTGGACTTCGACTCCCAGAAAGCCTTGCCAATTTTTCAGATGGGTGGACTTCAACTCCCAGAATTCCCCAGCCCAGAGTTTTGAGGAATTCTGGGAGTTGAAGTCCACCCATCTTAAAGATGAAAAAAAAAATCATTTGCTCTAAAATCTCTTTCCTGCCTTAAAGATACTCACGGGCGAGCTGAATTTCGTGCGGATGAGGCCGGGCGCCAGACAGTTGACCCGGATGTTGTGAGGGGCCAGTTCGTTGGCCAGGTTGCGGGTCAAGCCCAGGAGGGCCGTCTTGCTGACGTTGTAAGGCCCGAGGCTCTAGGAGAGAAGGGGCGAAGGAAGCAGAATTAGGGGTACCTTTAAGAGCCTACTTCCGGGTTGCTTCCGCTGACTGCCGGCTACCTGCAATTTGGCAGTTCGAATCTCACCAGGCTCAAGGTTGACTCAGCCTTCCATCCTTCCGAGGTGGGTAAAATGAGGACCCAGATTGTCGGGGGGCAAGAGGCTAATGCTATTTCTCTCTATCTTATCTATCTGTTTGTCTGTCTGTCTCTCTCTCCATCCATCTATCCACCCATCCACTATATCTGTGTCTATCATCCATCCATCCCTCTATGTTTATCTGTGTCTGTCTATCTCTAATTCTGTATCTATTGTTACTATCTTATCTATTTATATCCATCCATCTCTATCTCTATTTATATCCATCTATACATGTATTTCTCTATGTAATTATGTCTACCAATCTATCTTATTTATATCCATCTGTATCTTTCTGCGTCTATATTTATCTATCTCTATCATCTATTTATCTATACATCTCTCTCTCTATGCCATCTATTATCTATCTATCTATCTATCTATCTATCTATCTATCTATCTATCTATCTATCTATCTAATCTCTCTATCACCTATTTATCTATTGATCTACTATCTTTCTCTCTATGCCAGCTATGCCATCCATCCATCCATCCATCTCATCTATTTATCTATCCATCTACTATCTCTATGCCATCTATCTATGCCATCTATCTATCTATCTATCTATCTATCTATCTATCTATCTATCTATCTATCTATCTATCTATCTATCTATCTATCTATCTATCCATCTATCATCCATCCATCATCTATCTATTATACATCCATCATCTATTTATCTATCCATCTACTATCTCTATGCCATCTATGCCATCTATCTGCCTATCTATCCATCTAATCTATCATCCATCCATCATCTATTTATCTGTCATCTATCTATCTATCTATCCATCCATCCATCCATCCATCTACTATCTCTCTCTATGCCATCTGTCTATCCATCCATCCATCCATTTCTCTATGCCATCTATTCCATCTATCCATCATCTACCTACCTACCTACCTATCATCTATCATCCATCCATCATCTATTTATCTGTTATCTATCTATCTATCTATCTATCTATCTATCTATCTATCTATCTATCTATCTATCTAATCTATCTTTTAAACTTTTTAAAATTCTTCAACTTTAAATTTGTTTTATGAATTTGGGGTGTTTTAAATTTCATTTTCCGGGCCAATTATTTAATTGTATTTTAATGCTTTTTTAACATTTGTATTATATGTATTTTATCTGGCTGTTCACCGCCCTGAGTCCTTCAGGAGTAGGGCGGTATACAAATTCAATAAATAATAATAATAATAATAATAATAATCTCTATCACCTTTTTTTTTTTTTAAATTTGATTTATATGCCGCCCTTCTCCGGAGACTCAGGGCGGCTTACAATGCATTAAGCAATAAGCAATATTTATCTATCCATCTACTATCTCTCTCTCTATGCCAGCTATGCCATCCATCCATCCATCTCTCTCTCATCTATTTATCCTGGGTGCATAAAATCTACACCTAGTTACTGGTTACCAGTTCTTAGTCACATACTTCCCCTGCACTTACGACGACAAGAAGCTCTCATTCGGGAGTATAGTAAGATCCTGTTAAATTCCTCTCTACCCATTCATGGATACATTCCTGATCTCTTAAGATGCCGATTAAAATCAAGAAACCCACCACTCTTGACAGCGCTTAAGCTGCTGGCCGATCATCAGAACACCAAACAAAAGTGGATGGAAGTGTGGAGTAGATATTCCTCCCAAGATATCTCTGAGCATATTAATCCTAATAGCATACCTCCAGGATTTAACCTACCCCAACATATATGGGTGACATATAACAGCATTAGAACGACTCATGGGGTGTGTGCCGACTCCTTGTATAAATGGGGAAAGATACCTTCAGCACAATGCGATTGCGGGGCACACAAACTATCCAACATATAGTGAGGGAATGCTCTAACAGAAGGTATCCAGGAGATTCTAGGGACTTCCTCCGCATAACGACGACAGCTACTGACTGGATCTCCAAACTCGACACTAAACTCTGAAATGTTCTTTCTGTTTTCCTCTTAGGTTTTCTTACTGCTCTTTTTCTAATTGTTTTAATCCTTTTAACCTGTAAAAATGAAGTGTTTTAATATTGTGTGTGACCAGCCATACGCTAAATAAATAAATAAATCTGAATCCTCCCACTTGAACTGGGAGACCCAGGACAGAATAAAGGGGAATAATTGATTTCTCCTAATTTGGAAAACCAACTTCCTAGATCGGGGTGTCAAACTCAAGGCCTGTGGGCCCGAATCCGCTTAGAGCTGGCCCGTGGGGCCGCCTGGAAACAGTGGACCGGCCTGTGGTGCAAAAATGGAGCTCGTTTTGTGGCCACGGCGGCCTCCTGCAGCCCTCTGCCAGCAGAAACGGAGCCCGCGTGCAGCCTCCCCTAAGTTCCAGTTTCACTAGCAAAGGAGCCGCCGGAGGCCATCGTGACTGAAAACGGAGCCTCACCGAATGATGTGGAGCTGGCCGCGCCCACCCCAGCCATGGCCCCCCAGCCCCCCCCCTCCCCGACGTCAAACACAACCCTGATGCGGCCCTCAACGAAAGGAAGTTTGACACCCGTGTCCTAGACGCAATTGCAGCAATTGCATTCGCCTTTTTTCGCCGCTGCGTAACGCAACTGACTCCTTATTTAGGTTCAAGGAGAAAGACATCTAATTCGTTTATTCCATTTTGAGAGACGGCCCGAAAGACGCAAAAGAGAGAGAAAATTATCTGCTTCACTCACTGGAAACGGCATATATCCAGCAACGGACGCCACGATGACGATGGAGCCGCTTCTGGAACAAAGCAGGGGATTAAGAGAGGCAGATTCCCCCCCCTCTTTTTTCTTTGTGAGAAATATAAGAATTATTCCTGTAAAAGCATAACCTGAGTTACGCCATTTTAAAATCATGTTAAGGCTTTATTTTACCTTGTATAACCTGATTATATAATTTAGCTGACATTTAAGAACATGATAAAGGAACTGTGTAATTCCTGTGTTCTTGAGAATATGTTTATCTTGCAGGAAATATGCTCTTGAGTCAACTTGCCCTCATTAATTAAAGGAAGTACGCAATTGATGTTTTTGAGGGGTATTTCTGTTGGGAATTGGGGAATTTCCAGGGTGGATCATGTACTACATATATTATATAAGATGTTATGTAAGATCTGAAACTGATTCCCAAGGGACTTTATTGACGTGTATTGTGATGTTCCTGAAGACTATAAAACTCATGTAAACTGTTTTATTTCCGTCTTTCCTCTCCTCCAGAGAGAAAGGCCCTTTGCAAAGAATAAACTCTGTCCCAGGATTATTTTAGTCTCTGTCTCTTTAAAACGGTAATGGGGTTTTCCTGTCGATCACATTCTTCCGCTCTCGTATTCCTCTAATTCCCCTGGAAACAATCACTATTTCTCCCCCAACCTATCTTTTCTGACCTAGGCTTCCTGAGAAAGCATAAATCCCAGTCTTAGTCCCAAAAAAACCTCTTTTATTGAGGCGGCTGTGAATTACGGTCATTCACAGCCCGTAACGATACACCAACAGTCTGTGAAGATTCCGACAGATGTCTGCTCGAGTTGACACAGTCTTTCGGGGTAATGTTGATAAACACCCACCTTTATGTCCCTTGAAACGCTGCCAGAAACCTAATTGTCACAGAGGCAAACGGACTTCTCAGAGCTTGAATGGACTATATGAACTAATTGCTTCCTTTTCTATGTCTTATGAGAGGGGCCAATCATCTCCAAGCCTTACTCCTGAGTCGCCCTTTTCTTCCTTAATTGTTCTTGCCTTATGGCAGCTCTGCGCACTGGGAACGGGCTCACACTGTTCTTCTGCCTCGCTTATGTCGGATTCCGGAGGCTCCGGAGGCAGCACATAACTACCCGATGGCCCTGGCCCCCTCTCTGCCTCTGACGTAGAGCCCTCGTCCGAGCCTTCCCCAGACTCCAGGATTGGCCCACGTTCCTCCCCAATCTCCTCACTGCCCGACTCTGCTGCCAGCTCCGCAGACCGTCGGCGGACTACAACAATACCTCACAAGGTTGCTGTGAAGAATAATTAGGATTCAACAAACAAATAATGGAAGATTTCAATTTAGCACAAATGTTTGTACTATTATTAGAATTATTATAAGCGTGTTAAAAGTAATAAATATGATTAATAATGTTCTATTTGTATTAAAAGGTAGGATACTTAGAACAAGGTGATTGGCATGGAAATGACACATTGAAATATTGAATGATTAAATAATGAAAGGTTATAATTGAATAAAAATATGGGTATTATTACAAGGATTGTATCAGCTTGTTAAATGAAACAGAGATGATTAATACTATTTTATTTGTACTAAAATGTATGACATAGGTACCACACTGTTCACACTTTGATATGTTTGTAAAAAATAAAAAAATAAAAAACTTAAAAAATAATAATTAGGATCTCCCTAATCTACTGAAAGAAGCTTTTAAGAATCTAAATGTGAAATGAAATAACGTTCTGAAGCAAGAAAATAACTTCCATTTTTTTTGAGATCATGAGTATCTCAAAATATTATATATTATAGAATATAATATTCTGGCCACGAAGACTGAAAATTTGTTGTGTTTCCCATGAATGCAGCAGGCTCCGAGTGCAAATTCTACCTCCCTTGAAAAAGGACCCCCTCTCCTAAACAAAGCCAGGGATTTATCGGAACCAAGTCTTCTTTTTATAGAGCAGCTTTCAAAGGGCTGGAGAAATTCACAACGAGGACTAGAAACTTGAAATGCTTGTCAGGAGAAAGAATTGAAAAAGAAGAAGAAATACCGGTAGTCAAAGCTGATCAGAAAATAGGCAAGAAGGAAAAAAAAAGAAAAGAACGAGAAAGAAATAATAATCTAACAATTTTCCAGCCCAAACGTTAACTAGAATATATAAATTATACATTGTACTGAGGGAATTTACCTCCTGCTTTAAACTGAAAGACGGTACAGGTAGACCTCGACTTACGACCACAATTTCCACTGCTCAGCATGACCGTCGTTAAGTGAGTTAGGCCCCATTTTACGACCTTTCTTGCCCCGGTTAAGCGACTCACCGCTGATGTTACGTGGGTAATGCAGTCGTTAAACGAATCGACTTTGACTTGGCTTGGCAAAAGGGGAGCACGTGAGCCCCCGGGACACTGCAGCCGTCATAAATTTGAGTCAAAGTTGCCAAGCGTCCGGATTTTGATCACCACGTAACCATGGGGATGCTGCAACGGTCGTTAAGCGTGAAAAAAGAAGTCACCTTTTTTCACAGTGCCCTTGTAGCTTGGAACGGTTACTAAACGAAGGGTTGTAAGTCGAGGACTGCCTACACGTCAATGAAAGAGGAAAAAGGACCCCAAAATATTAACGTTGCCATGACATACTCACCCCCTTTTCTGCATATGAGGGACCACCAGATTGGCTAGCAACGCTGTTGCCTTTACGTTGATATCCAATATCTGAAACAAATAACAGGTATAACCTGGACTTACGACCGTTAACGCGTCCAGGAATCTCGATCGGCTGTCCTTACGGCCGTAAGACGAGACACCCACGCGATTCTGCCGACCCGATTTTAACCCCCCTTTTTTTCCCCGTGGCCGTTGAAAATTCATCCCCGTGGTCGAAAACCATACGCCCTGCTCCTCCTCGTCATAAAAGCGGACACGGCCGTCGTAAAACGAGCAACAGCGTGTCCATTTTGGAGAAAAACCGGCCGGAAAAAGACTGGAAACTCACAATAACTCACTGTCCTGGGTTCGAGTCACGCCGTCACCGACCTCAAACGTGAAACGTAAATCTGGTGTGTTTGTATATATTGTGTGCGTTTGTGCGCTCTCTCTCTCTCTGTGTGTCTGTGTGTGTGTGTGTGTTTGTGTGTATTTTTGTGCTGATGTTAGAATCCTGGAACCAGATAGTAACTAGGGACGTGATGGCGAACCTATGGCACGCGTGTCACAGGTGACACGCTGAGCTGTATCAGTTCAGCTCCAGTGTGCACACGCGTGCCGGCCGGCTGATTTTTGGGCCTTTTGGGCCCACCGGAAGTCAGGAAACAAGTTGTTTCCGGCCTCCAGAGGGCCTGGGGGAGGGGGGAGGCAGTTTTTGCCCTCCCCAGGCTCCAAGGAAGCCTCTTGCGCCTGGGGAGGGTGAAAAACGGCCCTTCCAGTCCCACCAGAAATCGGCAAACGGGCCGTTTCTGGTCTCCGAGGGGGATGGGGAAGGCTGTTTTTGTCCTCCCCAGACTCCAAGAAAGCCTCTGGAAACTAGGGAGGGCGAAAAACGGGCCTTCCAGTCCCACCGGAAGTCAGCAAACGGGCTATTTCCAGCCTCCGGGGGGAGTGGGGAAGGCTGTTTTTGCCCTCCCCAGGCTCCAAGAAAGCCTCTAGCGCCTGGGGAGGGCAAAAACGGGCCTACCAGGCCCACTGGTAACATTTTTGCCGTCGTGTGCCAAAAGTGGGAGTGCGGAGAGGTCGTGCGCGCATGTGTGGGGGCATTGAATTATGGGTGTGGGCGCGCAATCCTCCCGTGCTCTCCCACTTTTGGCCCGTGATGGGAAAAATGTTAGCCATCACTGAACTAGGGGATCTGTCCTAATTTCAAACGGTTGCTAAGCGAACCACCGTAACTAGTTTTGGAGGGGGATCTGTCCTAATTTCAAACGGCCGCTAAGCAAACCGTCGTTAAGTGAGGACCAGCCATAAAGCGGGAAAGCAATATTTTAGCCCCGTTTTCCCAATCCGTTTTTGCAGATGTTTGGCCTTGCCAGCGGGTTTGACCGACGTTCCTCCGACATGTTGGCCACGCTAAGCTCCCTGCAAGGGTGCACCTTTCGGGACTACAAAGCCCATTGTTTTCTCCTCTGTCCCCATCTGCAAAATGTCTCACCTTATCCCAGACTTCCTCCGTGGCGTCCAACATGCTTCCGAAAAACGGGTTCACGGCTGCGTTGCTGACCAAAATATCAATTCCCCCGTAGCGCTCGACGGCCTGAGGAAAAAAAGAGAATTAAACACCGTCGTTTAAGAAGTTAACCCAAATTTTTTCAGTTTTGAGGATTTTTTAAGAGGGCTGGACTTCAACTCCCAGAATTCCCTAGGCAGCTTTGCTTTGCTGACTGGGGAATTCTGGGAGTTGAAGTCCTCACCTCAAGTTGCCAGGGTTGAAAAACAAATTCAATCTCCTTTTGCGACTGTTTAAATAAAACAAAGGCACTATGCAACTCGATCCAATTCGCTTCCCGTGACACAAAATAGCGACCGGCGGTCCTCCACTTACGACGACAATTCGCTTAGTGACCGTTTGAAGTGACCCCGGCATGGAAAAAAGTGGCCTGGCACCGTTTTTTCACACTTCTGACCGTTTGCAGCATCCCCATGGCCATGTGATTTAAAATTCAGACGCTTGGCAACTGATTCATAGTTATGACGGTCGTAGTGTCCCGGGCAGTGGTGAAATCTAAATTTTTTTCCTACGGTTCTGTGGGCGTGGCTTGGTGGGGGTCATTGGACTGGGTGGGCGTGGTTATGTATTTATGTGACCTGGGGGGGGGGGTTGTTTCAAAAGACAGAAATTCACTTTAACAATGTCCTGCTGGAGCAGGGGGTTGGACTAGATGACCTCGAGGTCCCTTCCAACCCTGGATTGCTGTGCTCTTTCAAGGGATCCTCTGAAGCTGCATCTAGTGCCGGGTTTGTGGTCCTTCCTTTCCTTTTTCCCTCCCTCCCTTTCTTTTTCTTTTTCTTTCTTTCTTTCTCCCCTCCCTCCCTTTCTTTCTCTCTCTTTCCTTTCTTTCTTTCTCTTCCTTCCTTCCATCCATCCCTCCCTTTCCTTTCTTTTTTTCTTTCTTTCCTTTCTTTTTCTCTTCCTTCCCTCCCTCTCTCCCTTTCTTCTTTTCTTTCTCTTTCTTTCTCCCCTCCCTCCCTTTCTTTCTCTTTCCTTTCTCTTTCTTTTCCTTCCTTCCTTCCCTCCCTTTCTTCTTTTTTTTTCTCCCCTCCCTCCCTTTCTTTCTCTTTCTTCTCTTTTCCTTCCTTCCTTCCTTCCATCCTTCCTTCCTTCTTTCCTTCCTTCCTTCCCTTTCTTTCTTTCTTTCTTTTTTCCTTCCTTCCTTCCTTCCTTCCTTCCTTCCTTCCTTCTTTCTTTCTTTCTCTTTCTTTCCACCCCCCATCCCCCGTTTTTGGCCTAGCAGGCCTCAGGGAAGCCTCCTGGAAGCAAAAATGGACTCCCGCCCCACAATAGGAAGTAAAAAAATGCTTTAAAAAGTAAAAAAAAAAAGTTCAGAGGATCCCGCAGCTGTTGTCACAGCTGATTTTCGGAAACTTTATTTTACCTTTTTTAAAGCATATTTTTACTACCTATTGCATTGTAAGCCGCCCTGAGTCTCCAGAGAAGGGCGGCATATAAATTAAAGCAAAAACAAAACAAAACAAAAAAAAAAAAAACGGGTAGTTAAAAAAATGCTTTAAAAAAGTTAAAAAAAAATTCAGACGATCAGCTGTGCCGCGCGATCCTCAGAACTTCTTTTTTAAACTTTTTAAAGCATTTTCTTTACTACTGGTTTGGGCGAACCAGTAGCATTTTCACTACCGGTTTGGGAGAACCGCTCCGAACCGGTAGCATTTCCCCCCCCCTCCAGTCCCTGGGTCACTTTTTGCGACCTTCCGACAATGCGGGTAGCCAGATTCGTTTAACAACCTTGTAAACTAACTTAAAAAGCTTGCAGGGGTTCAGTTAAGAACGGTGGCAAGAGAAGTCGTAAAACGGGGTACAATTCACTTCACAAAATGTCTCGCTCAGCGACGGAAATTTGGGCCTCCATTGTGGTCGCAAGTCGAGGACTACCTGTAAGATATGTGAATGGTGAAACCAGCCAGCCCTTTCTGAAAAAGCAGCAAAATTTTAATTTTAGGATCTGAAAACCGCCGAGGAGGAGTGAAAAAGTCCTGAAAATCGGAGAAAATATAGATTTTTTTTCCCTTTTGGAAAAATGTTTTTTTTTTACCCCATCCTGGCCCAGTTGGGAACGCAAACTGGGAAAAAGGATTCCCAGTTCTCTCTCTCTGTGGCAAGTTGAACCTTGCACCGTAGAAACCACAATGGCAGAGAATTTTGATTGCAAGAAACTCGCCTGAGGGAAAATATCAACCCAGCCTCTGGTTTTTCCACCACAAAAACACACAAACACACACACACAGCACAAACAAAAGGTGCTTCGGTAAAGCTGCAACAGGATTCCCTTGGAAAATCCCGAATTTTGGAAGAAATTCCAGAGCTCTCAGGGGGCCGAGTCCATTTTCACTCTCCCATCGTGAGAATCAATTCCGAAAAATTTGAAAACGAACACCCGGAAACTTAGTTCATCTCTTCCAGGGAGTCCTCGATTTATAACCATTCATTTAGTGACCATTCGAAGGAGTGGTGCGGTGGCCTAGAGGCAGAGCCCTCTCGCCTCACAATCACGAGGCTGTGAGTTCGATCCTAGGCCCCTTGGCATCCTAAAGTCTCAAGAGACTATGGCAGTGATGGCTAACCTTTTTGCCATAGCGTGCCAAAGGCGGGGGTCGCGTGCGCGTGCCCACAGCCATTATTCTATGCGCCCCACCCCCGCACATGTGAACCCCCCCCCAGCTTTTGGCACACGATGGCACGGTAGGCCCATTTTTCGTCCTCCCCAGGCTCCAGAGGCTTTCTAGGAGCCTGGGTAGGGCCAAAACAGCTTACCGGACGCCCTCTGGGGGAGGGGAGGCTGTTTTTGCCCTCCCCAGGCTCCTAGAAAGCCTCTGGAGCCTGGGGAGAGCAAAAAACAGGCCTTCCCCACCTACTCCCAGGCCCTCCAGAGGCAGGAAACAGCCTGTTTCTCTACTTCCGGTGGGCCCAGAAGGCCCGAAAATCAGCTGGCTGGCATGCAGCTGAGCTCGCGTGCCCACCGATATGGCTCTGTGTGCCACCTGTGGCATGCGTGCCATAGGTTCGCCATCATGGGACTACGGTATCGTGCTCTGGAAAGAGGTCCTAAAACAGCATCTACAGTGACTAAAAAGGCCAATTCGAGAGTGGCAATCCCTTCCACACTGAGGCCGGTACATTCGGTCCCCTGCCCAGCCTCCAGATTTCACTGGTTCCGGGACTCCCTCTTTGCCTCGGCCTGCCGAACAAGCGTCTCTTCGAATTGGAGAAGGCCGTGCTGCGTCTTTAGCCTCCAAGCTGAACGATCGGAGGTCAAGGGTTCCCAGTTGTTAATGTCCGTCCCCCTCTTGCAGATATCCTTATATCGCAGCTGTGGTCTCCCTCTGAGGTGCCTTCCCTGCACTAATTCTCCATACAGGAGAACTTTCGGAATCCGACCATCAGCCGTTCTCACGACATGCCCCAGTCAGCGCAGACGTCGCTGTTTCAATAGTGTAGACATGCTAGAAATTCCGGCACGTTCCAAGACTGCGCTATTTGGGACTTTGTCCTGTCAGGTGAATGCCAAGATTTCGTCGGAGACAGCGCATATGAAAGGTGTTCAATTTTCTCTCCTGACGTGCGTAGAGGGTCCAAGACTCATTGCAGTACAAGAGTGAACTCAGGACGCAGGCTGAGATCTTTGTATGTTCTGTCAGCTTCTTATTAAGCCAGACTCTCTTTGTAAGTCTGGAAAATGTGGTGGCCACTTTACCATGTGTGGTGCCCCCTTGAGGAGCACCCGGAGGCTCCAGCTGGTCCAGAATGCGGCCGCGCGGGTGGTTACGGGAGCGGCGTGGCGCTCCCATGTGACCCCCCCTCCTGTGCGAGCTGCACTGGCTCCCGGTGGTCTTCCGGGTGCGCTTCAAGGTTTCAAGGTTTTGGTTACCACCTTTAGAGCGCTCCATGGCATCGGACCAGGGTACTTACGAGACCGCCTTCTGCTACCAATAGCCTCTCACCGACCAGTACGCTCCCATAGAGAGGGGCTTCTCAGGGTGCCGTCGGCCAAACAGTGTCGACTGGCGGCCCACAGGGTGAGAGCCTTCTCTGTGGGGGCACCTACCATCTGGAACGAGCTCTCCCCGGAGATACGGAGGATCCCGGATCTGCGCACGTTTCGTCGTGCTCTCAAAACATTTTTATTTCAGCAGGCTGGCCTGGCCTAACTCTCCCTTTTAAATTTTAAATCGTTTAATTTGTTATAAATTGGGTGTTTTAAATTTGTTTTGGTCAAAAAAATTAATAATTTTAATGGATTTTTAATGTTTGTATTATCTGTATTTTATTTTGGCTGTTCACCACCCTGAGTCCTTCGGGAGTAGGGCGGTATAGAAATTTGATAAATAAAATAAATAAATAAATAAATACCAATACGTTTATTCAACTCAGTATCTAAAGAGAGAGTGTCAGAGATAGTTGAGCCGAGGTACACAAAGCCATGGACGACCTCCAGTTCTTGTGCAAAGATTGTAATACAGGGAGGTAAATCCACGTCCTAACCTATTATTTGTGGGGTTTTTTTCAGGCTGATTGTTAGTCCAAAGTCTTGGCAGGCCTTGCTAAAACTGTCCATAAGTTGTTGAAAGTCTTCAGCAGAGTGAGTGAGCAGTGACGGCAGTATCATCAGCCAAGCGGAAATCCCGTAAGCATTTCAGCTGGACTTTAGACTTTGCTCTCAATCTAGAGAGATTAAAGAGTTTTCCGTCTGATCTGGTCCTGAGGTAAATACCTTCTGTCGCAGTTCCAAAAGCATGTTTCAGCATGACAGCAAAAAAGATCCCGAATAAAGTTGGCCGCTCTCTACATGGGGCTCCCCTTGAGGAGCACCCGGAGGCTCCAACTGGCGCAGAGTGAGGCCGCGCAGGTGGTTATGGGAGCAACATGGCGCTCCCATGTGACACCTCTCCTGCGCGAGCTGCACTGGCTCCTGGTGGTCTTCCGGGTGCGCTTCAAGGTTTTGGTCACCACCTTTAGAGCGCTCCATGGCTTAGGACCTGGTTATTTACGGAACCGCCTACTATCACAAGCAGCCTCCCACCGGCCGGTACGCTCTCATAGAGAGGGGCTCCTCCGGGTGCCGTCAGCTAAACAATGTCGACTGGCGGCCCCCAGGGGGAGGGCCTTCTCTGTGGGGGCACCCACTATCTGGAACGAGCTCCCCCCATAGATACGGAGGATCCCGGATCTACGCACTTTCCGCCGTGCTCTTAAGATTCTTCTATTCCAGTAAGCCGGCCTGGCCTAATTTTCTCCCGTTTTAAAATTCTTTTACATCGAAATTTTAATTTGTTTTAAATTATTGGGATTTTTAAATTGTCTTGGGTTAAATTATTTAACCTGGTTTTAATTCTATTTTTTAACTTTTGTATTTATGTATTTTATTTTGTGCCTGTTCACCGCCCTGAGTCCTTCGGGAGCAGGGCGGTATATAAATCTAATAAAAGACAAAAGACAAAGACAAAGACTCTACTTTGAATATCAAAGAAATCTGAAGTTAAGCTATCAAAAACTACAGTGTCCTTCATTTCCTCATGAAAGGACCTGATGATGTTCAGGAGCTGAGGTGGACATCCAATCTTGAGGAGAATTTTATAAAGGCCGTCCCTGCTAACACGCATGCCCTAGTCACTTCTCGCCTGGACTACTGTAACGCTCTCTACACGGGGCTCCCCTTGAGGAGCACCCGGAGGCTTCAACTTGTCCAGAACGCGGCCACCCGGGTGATTATGGGAGCGACTTGGCGCTCCCATGTAACACCTCTCCTGCGCGAGCTGCACTGGCTCCCAGTGGTCTTCCGGGTGCGCTTCAAGGTATTGGTTCTCACCTTTAAAGCGCTCCATGGCTTAGGGTATTTACGAGACCGCCTTCTGCAACCGATAACCTCCCATCAGCCAATACGCTCTCACAGAGAGGGCCTCCTCAGGGTGCCGTCGGTCAAGCAATGTCAGCTGGCGGCCCCCTGAGGGAGAGCCTTCTCTGCGGGGGCACCCGCCCTCTGGAATGAGCTCCCTCCCGGAATACGACTGATCCCGGACCTCCGTACTTTCCGTAAGGCCCTGAAGACTTTTTTATTCCACCAAGCCGGTCTAGCCTAAAAAGTCTTATGGGTTAGTTTTTTTTAAATTGTATCGATGTGGGGTTTTAAATTGGGAGGCCGATCGATTTAATTTATTTTAGTTGTTTTTAACTTTTATATTGTATGTATCTTAATTCCGGCTGTCCACCGCCCTGAGTCCTTCGGGAGAAGGGCGGTATATAAATTTAAATAAATAAATAAATAAATAGATAAATAGATAAATAAATAAATAAATAAATAACCAAGTCAAAAGCCTTCGTAAGATCTATGAAGGCTACGAAAAGTGGCTGTCTTTGTTCCCTGCATTTCTCCTGCAACTATCTAAGGGAAAATACCATGTCAGTAGTGGACCTGTTAGCTCGAAATCCGCACTGTGATTCTAGATAGCACTTGGAGCCTCTTCAGTACGACACGGGCAAGCAGGTTGTAGAAGAAGACACTAAGAAGAAGAGATGCCACGGCAGTTGTTACAGTCACCCCTGTCACCTTCGTTCTTGTAAATACAGATATTTGCATCCTTCATGTCCTGTGGTACTCCACCTTCCCTCCAACAAAGACCGAAGATTTCATGCAGTTCAGTGGAGATGTTCTCTTTGCATCAGGAGGCTGTGAATTCAATCCTAAATAGAGGCAGCTATTTCTCTCTCTGGGCAGACTGAGAATATATCTGCTGAACAAAACTCCGCTCTGGTAACAGGAAAGGCATCCGGCCATTTAAAAAACACTCTGCTAGCTCCATTCAGTTGCCCAGATTCCACCCCGCAAGGGATGATGGGGTCGTTGAAAGAAGATGATGATTTAGTGACGGTTCGAAGTTACAACGGCACGGAAAAAAGTGACTTATGACCGTTTTTCACACTTAACCACCGTTGTCGGGATCAAAATTCCGACGCTTGGCAAGTGGTTCGTACTGTACTTATGACGGTCGCAGTATCCGGAGATCACACGATCCCCTTTTTGTGACTTTCTGACGAGCCAAGTCAACGGGGAAGCCGGATTCGCTTAACAACCGCGTGGCTAACTTAAGAACGGTGGTGATTCGCTTAACAACGGTGGGTAGAAAGGTGGCAGAACGGGGCGAAATTCGCTGAACTGTCTCGCTTAGTGACAGAAATGCTGGGCTCGATTGCGGTCATAAGCCAAGGACTGCCGGTAGTGAAACAATGGGGCAAGATACACCATGGAGGAGGGGGCGCTTACCACATCCATTAGGCGCCGTCTGTCTTCTGCCTTCCCCACGTGGCACACCAATCCTGACACGCTGAGATTCTCGGCCTGCAATTCAGCCACCGCCCGGTCCACGTTGGCCTGCTTCCGGCTACTCACCAGCACGTGTGCCCCGTCTTGTGCCAGCCGGCGTGCGATGGCTAAGCCAATTCTGCCGAGACAGAAACGTGATACAGGATGACCCCGACTTACAACCGTTCGTTTAGTGACCGTTCGAAGTTACCAGGACGCTGAAGAAAGCGACTTCGGATCATTTTCCACACTTGCAACCGTCGCACTCGTGGTCACGCCATCCAAATTTCGGACACTTGGTGACTGACTCATATTTACGAGAGTCGCAGTGTCCCGTGATCCCCCTTTGGCGAACTTCTCACGAGGCCCAAGTCAAGGGGGAAGCCCGGATTCACTTAACGACTGTCTCAAAATTTAAGAACTGCAGCGATTCACTTAGTGACCATTCGAAGTTACCACAGCACTGAAAAAAGTGACCTATGGCCATTTTTCACACTTTACGACCATTGCAGTATCTCCATGGCCACAAGATTAAAATTCAGACGGTTGGCAACTGATTCATATTTATGACGGTCGCAGTATCCTGGGGGGGGGGGGTCACGTGATCCCCTTTTGCGACCTTCCGACAATTGGATAGCCAGCTTCACTTAACGACCTTGTTACTAACTTAACAACGGCAGGGATTCAGTTAACAACCTTGTTACTAACTTAACAATGGCAGGGATTCAGTTAACGACGGTGGCAAGAAAAGTCGTAAAATGGGGTAAAATTTGCTTCACAAACGTCTCGCTTTAGCGACAGGAATTTTGGGCTCGATTGTGGTCGTAATTTAAGGACAACCTGTAATAGGATGTATCCGGCCTTTCCGTGCAATTCTTGGTGCCATTCTGCAGATAAAACAGGTACGGATAGTCCTCGGCGTACGACCATAACGGAGCCCAAACTTTCCGTCGCTGAGCAAGACAGTTGCGAAGTGAGTTTTGCCTCCTTTTGCAACCTTTCTTGTCACCGGAGTTAAGTGAATCGCTCGAGTTGTTAAGTCAGTGACACGGTTACTAAGGGAACCTTGCTTGTCTACACCAAGGGTAAACGATATAGGCCGTCCTCGACTTACGACTGCCAAGGAGCCCTACATCGCTAAGTGAGACACTTGTTAAGCGAGCTTTGCCTCGTTTTACGACCTTCCTTGCCACACGGTTGTTAAGTGAATCACTGCGGCTGTTAAGTTCGTCACATGGCCGTTAAGTGGATCTGTCTTAACTGTGAAAAACTGTACAGGTAGTCCTCGACTGTTGTATGTCAAGGACTACCTGTACAGTATACAGGAGTCCTCACTTAACAACCATGGAAGTTATGACAGTCGTTAAGTGAGGACTGCCTGGCTGGGGGATTCTGGGAGTTGAAGTCCACCCATCTTCAAGCTTCCAAGGTTGAGAAACACTGGTATAGACCTTCATTTCAAGGTTTGAAATTACATCAGCTGTTTCCAACCCAGATCAGCCGGATCCACAACTTAACACATCTGACTAGTGTCGAAAGCTACAGCCGAGTGAAATCATGATTTTGAAATCGTGATTTTGAAATCGTGATTTTGAAATCGTGATTTTGAAATCGTGATTTTGAAATCGTGATTTTGAAATCATTTCGAAATCGTAGCCCTGAGCGGGAGAAAGGCAGAAAGGAGGGGATCTGAGCTGAAACTAATTCCGTTGAATTAGGTCACAAAACAGGTTGTTGCAAAAGCTTACAGCAACGGGAATTCGTTAAGTTAGCCGGTAACTGCAGCCTTGATCCAGGAAAGAAACTCGCTGCCTTGAGTTACTTGTAAAATAATAAAGGTGGGATACAAACAGGAAGGAAGGAAGGAAAAGAAAGAGAAAAAGAAAGAAAGAGAAGGAAGGGAGGGAGGGAAGGAAGGGCAAAGAGAATAGAGGAAGGAAGAAGGAAGAAAGAAGCAAAGAAGGAATGGAAGAATGGAAGAAAGGAGAATGGGAAGAAAAGAAGGAAAAAAGAGGGGAAACAAAGGAAGGAGGGGGGAGAGAAGGAAGGAAGGAGTGAGGGAGGGAAAGAGGAAGGAGGGAAGAAAGGAAAAGGAGCAGAGAAGAGAAGAAGGAAGAAAGAAAGGAGGGAAGGAGCAAAGAAGGAAAGGAAGAATGGAGGGAGGGAGGGAAGGAAGAAGGAGCAGAGAAGAGAAGAAGGAAGAAAGGAGGGAAGGAAGGAAGGAGAAGGAGCAAATAAGAGGAGAGGAAGAAAGAAGGAAGGACTGAGCAAAGAAGGAAAGGAAGAATGGAGGGAGGGAGGGAAGGAAGAAGGAGCAGAGAAGAGAGGAAGAAAGAAGGAAGGAAGGAGCAAAGAAGGAAAGAAAGAATGGAGGGAGGGAAGGAAGGAAAGGAGCAAAGAAGAGAAGAGGGGAAGGAAGAAGGAAGGAAGGAAGGAGCAAAGAAGGAAAGGAAGAATGGAGGAAGGGAAGGAAGGAGAAGGAGCAAAGAAGAGAAGAGAGGAAGAAAGAAGGAAGGAAGGAAGGAGCAAAGGAAAGGAAGAATGGAGGGATGGAAGGAAGGAGAAGGAGCAGAGGAGGAAGAAAGAAAGAAGGAAGGAGCAAAGAAGGAAAGGAAGAATGGAGGGAGGGAAGGAAGGAAGGAGAAGGAGCAAATAAGAGGAGTGGAAGAAAGAAAACAAAGGAAGGAGCAAAGAAGGAAAGGAAGAATGGAGGGAGGGAAGGAAGGAGAAGGAGAAGAGAGGAAGGAAGGAAGAAGGAAGGAAGGAGTAAAGAAGGAAAGAAAGAATGGAGGGAGGGAAGGAAGGAAAGGAGCAAAGAAGAGAAGAGAGGAAGGAAGAAGGAAGGAAGGAAGGAGCAAAGAAGGAAAGGAAGAATGGAGGGAGGGAAGGAAGGAAAGGAGCAAAGAAGAGAAGAGAGGAAGGAAGAAGGAAGGAAGGAAGGAGCAAAGAAGGAAAGGAAGAATGGAGGAAGGGAAGGAAGGAGAAGGAGCAAAGAAGAGAAGAGAGGAAGAAAGAAGGAAGGAAGGAAGGAGCAAAGGAAAGGAAGAATGGAGGGATGGAAGGAAGGAGAAGGAGCAGAGGAGGAAGAAAGAAAGAAGGAAGGAAGGAGCAAAGAAGGAAAGGAAGAATGGAGGGAGGGAAGGAAGGAAGGAGAAGGAGCAAATAAGAGGAGTGGAAGAAAGAAAGAACGAACGAAGGAAGGAAGGAGCAAAGAAGGAAAGGAAGAATGGAGGGAGGGAAGGAAGGAGAAGGAGAAGAGAGGAAGGAAGGAAGAAGGAAGGAAGGAGTAAAGAAGGAAAGGAAGAAGGGAGGGAGGGAGGGAGGAAAGGAAGGAAGGAAGAACACAAAAAATCACATCTTCAGCAGAACCCCAAGAAGTGGCTCCTCATCTCTCCTTCAAAAGTGCACCCCAAGGTTTAATTTCAAGCGGGAGGGGCTGGTAAGGCTGGCAAGAGTGCCTCTGAGCGAGTGCAAAGTGCTTTCCTTCCTCCCTTCCTTCCTCTTTCCAAAATCCGGCCATTCTCTTCTCTTCCATTTGGGCGCCCAAAAAGTTCCCCTCCTGGCCTCCTGCAGATCCTATGTGTGTGTGTGGGGGGGGAGAGAACCACAACTCCCAGCATGCCCTTAGAAGGTCGGGTGGTCGCAGGCGACCCGAGCCCGGTGCATTCTGGGAGTTGCAGTCTCCCAAAGCTTGGCAAAGTTTCTTTCTCCCTCCTTGCTTACCCTTCGGTGGAGGCCGTCACCAGGGCCACCTTCTCGGCCAGGGAGCGGCCGGCTGAGGTGCTGCTCATCCTCGCAAAGCGGCTCCAAGCAAGGCGGCCGGCGGAGAGCAGCGCTCTTTGCATGGGGACCTTTGGATCCCGCGCAGCTCCGCCTGCAATGCAAACCCGAATCTGGGGACTGAAAGTGGGAGGGGCGGGGGCGGGGGCAAGAGCGAGGAGGGGTTAGCGAGCGCCCTCTGGCGGGCGAGGCCAGGGCTGCGCCTTGCAGAGGGAGGGAGGCAGGCGGTCAAGCACCGCGAGAGTTCCTCCAGCGCGCGATCTCGACGACGCCCCGGGAGGGAGGCTGCTGGCGGAGTGGTGGGGGGGGAGAGGAGGAGGAGGAGGAGGGGGCGGAGTCTCGGAGGAGGGAGGAGGTGCTCCGTCGCCTCCCTGAGGGAGTTCTTGCTCGGGTTTTCCTGCGCTGCCTCAGGAAACTTGAGAGGGGAGAGGGAATATATTCGTCTCTATATGAGGCTGGGCAGCCTTCTTGGTGGAGGGAAGAGAAGGAATGAGGATTGAATGGCGAAGGGAGGGAGGGAGAGAAGGAAAAATGGAAGGAAGGAAAAATAGAAGGAAGGAAAGAGGGAGGAAAGAAGGAAGGAAGGAAAGGAGAGAGAGAGAAAGAAAAAGAAAGAAAGAAAGAGGAAGGAAGGAAAGAAAAATGGAAGGGAGGGAGGAAGGAAGGATGAAAGAAAAAGAAAAATGGAAGGAAGGAAAAAGAAGGAGAGGTAGAAAGGAAGAACAAAAAAGGAAAATAGAAGAAAGGAAGAAGGGAGGGAGGAAGGAAAGTGAGGTAGAAGGAAGGAAGAAATAAAAGAAAAATGGAAGAAAAAAGAACGAAGGAAATGGGAGGGAGGGAGGAAATAAAGAAAAGTGATGTAGAAAGAAAAGGTGATAAAAGAAAAGAAAGGTAAAAAGAAAAAAAGAATTGAAGGAAAGAAAAATAGAAGGAAGGAAGAGGGAGGGAGGAATGAAGGAAGGAGAGGTAGAAAGGAAGAAATGAAAAATAGAAGGAAGGAAGGAGACGTAGAAAGGAAGAAAAGCAAGGAAAAATGGAAGGAAGGAAGAAAGGAAAAATGGAAGGAAGGAACAGGGAGGAAGGAAGGAAGGAAGGAAGAAAGGAGAGGTAGAAAGGAAGAACAAAAAGAAAATAGAAGAAAGGAAGAGGGAGGAAAGAAGGAAAGAGGTAGAAGGAAGGAAGAAATAAAAGAAAATGGAAGAAAAAAGAACAAAGGAAATGGAGGGAGGAAGGAAATAAAAGTGATGTAGAAAGAAAGAAGGTGATAAAAAATGGAAGGAAGGAAGGAAAAGAAGGGTAGAAAGAAGGAAGCAAGAAAAGAGGAAGATTGAAAGGAAGAAGGAAAAAAGAAAGGAAGAAGAAAGGAAAAGAGGGTCAAAAGGAAGGAAGAAAAGAAATAAGAAATGGACAAAAGAAAAATGGAAGGAGGGAGGGAGGAAGAAAGGAGAGGTGGAAAGCAGGAAGAAAGAAAAAAACGGAAGGAAGGAAAAGACATAGGAAGAAGGAACCGTGTTAGTAGTTTAACTGCAGCGACTCACTTAACAACAGTGGCCAGAAACCTGGTAAAATGAGGCCGTGTCTTCCTTAGCGACAGACATTTTGGGCTCAGTTGTGGTCGTAAGCCGAGGACTTTTAAAAAAGGGTCTCTCTTCAGAAGCCCAGAATTCACTTACAGATGGAAAGGAAGTGGTTGGGCAAGAAAAGAGGCAACCGAGCCCCAACAACAGGAAGTCAAGCCCAAAATGAGGCAGACCGAAACGACAACGCACAAAAAACACAAAACGCACACATACACACCACACAAACGGAGGAGGAAAAAAAAAAAGCTGTAGCAATCCGGACTCTCTCCCTCTTACCGATTCTACTGTTATTCGTCCCTTCCTGCCACATTTCTGGCTTTTGAGGTTTCCAGAAAAGCCACCGTTCCCCGAGCATGTGCAGAGTTTTTTTTAAAAAAAAAATTTTTTAAATCCACAATGGACTTGCAAATCCAAGTTTTAGATTAAAAGTCTGTTCAATCCTAGGGCCCTTCAATGAAACCGTTTTTTTTTTAAAAAAACAACCCTTATTTTGTAATCTTCCTCCAAAATTGGCAAATTCGGTTTCGGTTTATGAGGTAAATTTTTATTTTTAAATCGATGTGGTTATAAACGGGTTGGAAAACTGGTTTTAGTTCCCCTCTATAAACACTCCAGGAGGGGGTGAAAAAGAGTGAGATAAAGTAAAACAGTAAACAGTAACAAAGGGACCTTGGAGGTCATCTAGTCCAGCCCCCTGCTCACACAGGAGCCCTGTACTAGAGATTCGAACCGCCGAACTGCCGACCTTTCTGATCGACAAGCTCAGTGTCTCCAAAACTGCCATGGAATTGTAGAATCCCGAAAGGGATCCATCGAGGTCATCCAATCCACCCCTTCCGTCTCTGTACACCAATTCAGATTAAAACCTCTCTGGCCGATGGATGTTTCAGCCTCCTTGGACGTTATTACAGTTAATCCTCACACTTACGACCACAATGGATCCCCAAGTTTATCTTACGTTACAGACCCGGTGGCCTAGAAGTGGAGCTTTTGCCTCACAATCGGGAGGTTGTGAGTTCGATCCTAGGTAGGGGCAGATGTAGGGTCTCCTGCTTCGGCAGGGGGTTGGACTAGATGACCTGCAAGGTCCCTTCCAACTCGGCTAATCTGTTAAATCTTTAGCGCTAAGCAAGAACTTTGTTAAGTGAGCTTTGCCCCGTTTTACGACTTTCCTTGCCGCCGTTGTTAAGTGAATCACTGCAGTTGTTAAAATTACAAGTCACACCGGTTGTTAAGCGAGTCTGGCTCCCTCCCACTGAACATTGCTTGTCCGAAGGTCGCACGACCCCAGGACACCGCAACCATCATAACTCTGAGTCCGTGGTCAAGCGTTCGAATCTAAACGGTCGTAAGTGTGAAAAATGGTTCTAAGTGCCTTTTTGCAATGCCGTTGCGGTCATTAAGTCGAGGACTAACTGTATCATTCAGAAGTATTTTTAACGTCCAACTTTCTAACCTTTATTGCATCGTTTTCCGAGTCTGACTTTTGTTTTTTTTTAAAAAAAGGGAAATTTATCTTCTATTTAAAAAGTTTGCTGGTAACCAGGAAATTGTTTGGAGCAATTTGGGGAAGCAGCAACGAGAAAGTGGATTGGGCCCCTTTTTCCAAGCTGCTTCTCTTTTATTTCTAGTTTTCTATTGGCTCTTCTTCACTTTTGCAATATCGAACCAAAGTCTGTTCGGTGTCTGGCAAAAATAAAGAAATAAATGGATTTTTAAAAAATGAAACGACCAGCAATATTGGGCTAACATAATATAGTAACAGTAACAGAGTTGGGACCTTGGAGATCATCTAATCCAACCCCCTTTTCACGCAGGAGACCTGTACTAGGGATTCGAACCGCCGAACTGCCGACCTTTCTGAGCGACAAGCTCAGCGTCTTAGCCAGTCCACCATTCTCCTGTGTTTCTTTCCTCTTTACAGCTAGTCCTCGATTTACAACCGCTCGCTTAGTGACCGTTCGGAGTTAACAAGGGCGCTGCAAAAAAAAAAGTGTTTTTCACACTTAACGACCGTCGCAGCATCCTCGCGGTCACGGAATCAAAATTCGGACGCTCGGCAGCTTGACTTGTATTTATGACAACCGGGGGGGTGTCACGTGATTTCCTTTTGCGCCCTTCGGACAAGCACAGTCCGTGACGGAGCCAGATTCCCTTAACAAATTGTGTGACTAACTTAACGACTGCAGTGACTCACTTAACAACGGTGACAAGAAAGGAAGGTCGTAAAATGGGACGAAACTCTTGCTTAGCAATGGAATTTTTTTTTTTTTGCTCAATTGTAGTCGTAAGTCGAGGACGTGTATTAACCCACCCCGAAAACTACTCAAACGTCAGTCACCGACATGCTGATGACAATTGTCGAATTTGTTTGATTGTCTAATAAGAATTGGTTTTATCCGTCTAATTAAGAATTTAATAAGAATTTCTTTTGATTTTTCTAATAAGGACGTGATCAATTTCACTTTTCCTAAAACTTTGAGGCTGGGGAAATTCTGGGAGTTGGAAGTCCACACCTTTTAAAATGGCGGAGGTGGTGAAATCCTGGTTTGGCTGCCAAGCTGGCGGTGGAGCCACGAGATCCCTGGTTAAACCATCATTGTTGGTTTGTTGGGTTTCTTGTGATGTGGCTTTACGTTCCTATTTTCTTTTTTAAAGCCAGCCTCTTCCGTTGACTCTTTCCGAGCCCCCAGAAGGAATGATTTTGATTTGTGCCAGTCGTTTTTAATCATATCAGGATGATTTTGATCATTTTGATCTGCAAGTATTCAATTTCAATTTAATTCAATTTATATGCCGCCCCTCTCTGAAGACTCAGGGCAGCTCACAATACATTTAAAATCCTAATAAAAAACATTTAAAAATTTGCTCCAACCATTTTTTGATGTTAGACCAAAATTTATTTGCTATTATTTGCTATTTATTATCAAAGATCTCACAATTCACATATTAACTGCTGCAAGAATAACTTACGCAAAAAATTGGAAGCAAGAAAAAATACCAAGTGAAACAGAAATAATAGGAAAAATTTTAGAGTGCGCTGAAATGGATAGGTTAACCAAAGAATTACAAGAAAGGGAAGAATCAGATTATTATAAAATATGGAATAATTGGTATAATTGGTTAAAAATCAGAAATATACAAAAAATATAGGGGGAAATATTACCGATTTAAATATATATATATATATATATAATTTCTCAGGTTTTCGCGGGTGTTTGTATGTAGGTCTTTGGTTATTCGGGTCTTCTCCCACATAAAATTGGAAGTGTCTTGACGACGTTTCGACGAAGTCTCATGTGTGTTCTCGGCTTCGAGCTTTGTGCTTCACATTGCTCCTAGAAGCACGAAGCCGAGAACACCAGCCTGAAGATGACGAATGAGACTTCGTTGAAACGTTGCCAAGAAACCTCCAATTTTACGTGGGAGAAGACCCGAATAACCAAAGACCTATACACACACACACACACACACACACACACACACACACACACATATATATATAATAAAAAATGTTATTAGATTAAGGAGAGGTGAAGGAATATATC